CTCGTGTGTGGTCGGAACGGTCTCGGATCATGGTCGGATCGGTCTCGGATCGGTTCCGCATTGTAAATGGGGTGTCACCTGTGTTTCGTGCATCTGCGGTCGACAGAATTCCATTGTGATTTGCAACTGTAGGATCGTTCCCGCAATGTAAATGGGATTGCAAGTGGTGCTGGTGGATGAGTTGCCGATGGAGTTTTGAAGGAAGTCTCGCACGAAATGCGTTTTTGAGAGAGAGCAGATGCACGAAACCCTATGTTTTTCCAGACAAAGTGCGTCCCCGAACGTCGATGCACGAAACCCTATGTTTTTCTCCATTTTGGGGCTAGTGATTTTCCTTCTAAATATCCTTTTAAAAAGTGTTTCAAAATCGTTTTTTTTTTCGCTCTGGCGTCGAGATCCCCGGTTTTGGAGCTACAATTTCCGACGCTGTTGCGCGTAGTTCTATTGTGTTTTGCAACTCGGTCTCTGCAGATCGCATTGTAATGGCTGCGTCAAGGTTGCTTCGTGCTGTGGCTGCATGCGTAATACCATTGTCTTTTGCAGCTGGAGCTCGTCAATCGTCTTGGAGTGGCTGCATGAAGGCTACGAAATGGATTTGTTAGCAGATTTGCTCCATTTTGGCGCTAGTGATTTTCCCTCTAAAAATCCTTTTAAAAAGTGCTTCAAATTCGTCTTTTTTTTCGCTCTGGCGTCGAGATCCGGTTTTGGAGCTACAATTTCCGACGCCGTTGCGCGTAGTTCTATAGTGTTTTGCAACTCAGTCTCTGCAGATCGCATTGTAATGGCTGCGTCAAGGTTGCTTCGTGCTGTGGCTGCATGCGTAATACCATTGTCTTTTGCAGCTGGACTTCGTAAATCGTATTGGAGTGGCTGCATGAAGGCTGCGACAGTGATTTGTCAGCAGATTTTCTCCATTTTGGCGCTAGTGATTTTCCTTCTAAATATCCTTTTAAAAAGTGTTTCAAAATCGTTTTTTTTTTCGCTCTGGCGTCGAGATCCCCGGTTTTGGAGCTACAATTTCCGACGCTGTTGCGCGTAGTTCTATTGTGTTTTGCAACTCGGTCTCTGCAGATCGCATTGTAATGGCTGCGTCAAGGTTGCTTCGTGCTGTGGCTGCATGCGTAATACCATTGTCTTTTGCAGCTGGAGCTCGTCAATCGTCTTGGAGTGGCTGCATGAAGGCTACGAAATGGATTTGTTAGCAGATTTGCTCCATTTTGGCGCTAGTGATTTTCCCTCTAAAAATCCTTTTAAAAAGTGCTTCAAAATCGTCTTTTTTTTCGCTCTGGCGTCGAGATCCGGTTTTGGAGCTACAATTTCCGACGCCGTTGCGCGTAGTTCTATTGTGTTTTGCAACTCAGTCTCTGCAGATCGCATTGTAATGGCTGCGTCAAGGTTGCTTCGTGCTGTTGGCTGCATGCGTAATACTATTGTCTTTTGCAGCTGGACTTCGTAAATCGTATTGGAGTGGCTGCATGAAGGCTGCGACAGTGATTTGTCAGCAGATTTTCTCCATTTTGGCGCTAGTGATTTTCCTTCTAAAAATCCTTTTAAAAAGTGCTTCAAAATCGTCTTTTTTTCGCTCTGGCGTCGAGATCCGGTTTTGGAGCTACAATTTCCGACGCCGTTGCGCGTAGTTCTATTGTGTTTTGCAACTCAGTCTCTGCAGATCGCATTGTAATGGCTGCGTCAAGGTTGCTTCGTGCTGTGGCTGCATGCGTAATACTATTGTCTTTTGCAGCTGGATCTCGTAAATCGTATTGGAGTGGCTGCATGAAGGCTGCGACATTGATTTGTCAGCAGATTTTCTCCATTTTGGCGCTAGTGATTTTCCTTCTAAAAATCCTTTTAAAAAGTGCTTCAAAATCGTCTTTTTTTCGCTCTGGCGTCGAGATCCGGTTTTGGAGCTACAATTTCCGACGCCGTTGCGCGTAGTTCTATTGTGTTTTGCAACTCAGTCTCTGCAGATCGCATTGTAATGGCTGCGTCAAGGTTGCTTCGTGCTGTGGCTGCATTTGTAATACTATTGTCTTTTGCAGCTGGATCTCGGAAATCGTCTTGGAGTGGCTGCATGAAGGCTACGAAATAAATTTGTTAGCAGATTTTCTCCATTTTGGCATTGTTTTTTGTTCACGTAGGTTTAGAGCAGTGTGAAGTGTGGGGCGTAAAGAGTGCAGTGTGAAGTGTGAAGTGTGAAGGAATCAGTGGGAAGTGAGAAGTGTGAAGTGTGGAGTGTGAAGTGTGAAGTGTGAAGTTTCAGTTTGGAGTGTGAAGAGCGCAGTGTGAAGTGTGAAGTGTGAAGTGTGAGGTTTGGAGTGTGAAGGAAGCAGTGTGAAGTGTGAAGTGTGAAGTGTGGAGTGTGAAGTTTGAAGTTTGGAGTGCGAAGAGTGCAGTGTGAAGTGTGGAGTGTGGAGTGTGAAGACTTTGCTTCGTCTCTCGCTGAAAAAATCAAACGGTTGTCGAGGGAAGGACACGGTCGGGACAGGGTGTCTTTGAACTATAGGTCATTTATGTTTGGGAAACTTCCGCCGCCGGCTTGCCCGGGTCTATGTTAGAGATGACTTCATGGTCATTCAATTTAATGTCGCCTGAAGAAGTTTTGCCGCTGATTCTAAAGCAACTTATTATGGGCGGCACCACATTAGGCCAAAATCCTAAATCCGAGGGATGATTTCATCATTTTCCAAGAGTTTCCCCACTAAAGTGCCCTTTGAATGTTCTCATTTTCAGGCACACCCACGAATCTATTGCTGGGCCAATATATCATAATATATCCCATAAAGTATCCCCAGTCTATCTCCATTATAGTGATAGTTTTCCAATCATTCTCCCGTAAACGGTGATTTTGAGATGCAGAAACACATGATTCGCAATCCCAATTTTTCCGATGATTCATGAAGTGGGGAAGGCTGTTTTTTTTTTTTTGCGACGGCCTGATGCGAGCCGCAAACAGCATGAGGATACGCTATGGTTCAAGTCTTTCTGCAACCAGAGCCCCTCCTTGTATGATCTACTATATATATATAATATATGTACACCTTTGCTTTGTAGATTCATGTTGTTTCCACGGGTGATTTTTTGGGGTTCAGTACTCCAGCCACTTTTTTTTAGATACCAACCCCATACCAGAGTTGGATCATGGGTGCACTCCGGTAATCAAACATGGAAAAAAAAAATCTACATTTTATAGATGATTTTAGTTAAGTTAAATTTCCATTTATCAGGATTTTTGGGATTCTGAAAATAGCCACGTTTGATTACCAGAGAATATTTCTTGAACCACCTTAAGCATCAGGATAAACATTCTAGCAAACTCAGTTGCGAGCCATCCGCACAGGATCGGCACCCCTGACACAACAGTTCGATAATGTTCACCAACTTAGCTGGTAAGAGTACATAATAGTACATCCAAAAATATCAAAAACACCCCATGATTTTTGGTGAAATCCCCATTTCGCCAGGTTTTTTATATGTTTTTCATGGTGAAATCCCATGAAATCCTATGCTTTGGTCCCAATTAACGGCCAGGAGGGAATGATTGGAGGGATCCGAGTTCGACCAGTGCAGAATCCTTATGTCAGGTGCCACCGCACAGTTCCCTGGGATATGTGGAAAATCTGGTTCGAAAAATGATCTGCTGGTGACCTGAAAATGGAGATGTCACCTCCCAAACTGGCCCTGGATTTGCTTAGTCAATCCGTCGATGATTTTTTTTGGGGGTGTCTCATCGTAAGTAAATCCACCAAGAAAAAACATGCGCAATGACTGCAACTACCAATACTTGGATGAACTTGTTATAGCTACTCTATGTTTGAATGACTCCCAGTAATTACCAAGTATGAATGAGGAACCTGAGTTCTCGGTATGTCAAGTTGCGATTTCCTGGTCAGATGGATCTCCAGCCAAGTTTTGGGGGTGCAGGGGACCAGGGGAGACCACAGGAGACCAATTTGGCAGGCTGGGGAGCAAGCTTTGTCCCCATGTTTGAGGGTCAAGTTACACATGGTGGTTAGGTTTAATCATGTTTAATCACAAGATTTCGATTACACATCCATTTAGCTGATGCAAATCCAGTTTGATTCAAATCCATTTCACGAATCATTAATCTATAGGTCCAACTAATGTACTAACATCACTCATTAATCATTAATCATTCACTATAAGCATTAATCATCAATCATTATTCATCACATCCATTTTAATCCATGTTTCACCTTCACATCAATCCCAAAAATCTCTCACCTTCTCCAGGACACCTTTACAAACCACGGACCCGCCAGGCTGAAGGCCGCCATGAAGTACCGCCTGAACACCTGGTCCCTGGGCTGCGACGGGACTGACGGCTGAAACATCCATACCTGGTGGATTGCGAAGTGCACCAGTTGGTATCACTTTTTAACTATTGGTAACTATGAAACATTGTAAATCATGGGATTTTTTATTGGGATAAGCCATCAACAGGTGCAGGATGTCTTCAACCATCCACAATATCATGGCTTTCTGAAGACGGGATCCCCGACCAAGAAACCACGGTCATCCATGTCGACTGGATGATGACTGCGGCTACCCGCATGACAAAACGGAAACCTCCAGATGTTTTGTTTTTAACCTTAGGGTGTTCTCATGAAAGGCGGAATGCCTATAGAATCCAAGGATTAATACCTTCATGACAAATGCTCGGCTTTTCGTCTCTGAAAATGGTCGATTGATTGGCTTGACAGATATTGATATTCCCATCTGGCTCAGAATTATTGATCCCCAAAATATGCAAAATGGGATGGTTTAGTACTAGAAATCACAAATTGAGTGAGTCGCTTGGTCCACTGGTCCTTCATTTATGGTTGAGGCCTTCTTACCAGTGTATCCAGATTGCAAGAATCGCTTGATCCTTTTCTTGCGTTCTCCGATCAACATGCTATTTAATTTCATATTATGCTTTCAACCTAGGAGCAGTGTAATATCCAGCTATCAAAATCACCTGCCGGAGAATTTCCCGCTGCATGCGAGAAGCAACTCGCCTAGGCAGTCAAGGAACTGGAAGCAATGGTCGCGAGGGGCCACAGGGGTTGCTATGGGGATTTCGATCGTGGTGCCCTAATAGCTGAATGGTTTACAATGGACAATTGATGATTTATGACATTCATGGGTACCGCCATTTTAGGACATCTCCATATGTGATAATGGGGTTTCATTGGATAATGACAACCATCTTAGAGCTACATGGCCTTGTCCAAGAAAAGGGGGTGGAGAACCCCTAAATGGTATTTTATGAATACGGAATATTATGATAAACCATAGGTTCAAGTGATTGGCTCCAGAAACAGGGCGGTATCCTCTGGCAATGTGTTAGATAACTGTGGAACATGGCCAATATATTTGTTGATAGAAATTATGATTTGCCGATGAAAAAGTATGATTTGTTATGGCCAAGTGGGTTTGTTGGTGCCCTACAGTTGACCCATGGCCAGATGTGCCAGTCCTTGGGATGGTCATCAATGAGATTTTCATAGGGATTCATAGACCCATGATGTTTGGATATGTTTGGATTCTGATTATGGATGGATGGCTGGATGAATGGACATATTTATACGTATTTTTCATTATTTCCCATTATTTCCGCTACACATCTCCTTAGACTCTTTCTGAACTCACCACTTTTGCTGGTGAAATTTCCCCGAAATGTCGCGCAGCAAGGCCCAACTTGTCGCACGTCCGCGGCGGTCGTCGAAGGCCGTTTCCTCATGGTTCTTCATGACTTGGAGGATATCATCCACCTATAAATTGGTAGGTTAGTGGATGATTTTAGGACTCCAAATCCAGATTTGCTGATGATTTGTTGTTTTTCTCTGTTTGGGAATTCCACTAACTTGTTTTTTTAAAGGAAGGGTCCTTAAGCAAATCCAAAATGTGGGATCCCAAAATTATTCATAACCAATAATTTCTGTTTGGTCATGATTGATTTGATTATAGAATTTGCAACATTGGTCATTTTTGAGTTAGGGCAGAGATCGTGGTCGCCATTTTGTTCAGGAAACATCCGTTGAAAAGAAGGGAGACACACCCAAATCCCATGGTTTGTCGTTTCCCCATTAAAAAAATGCCATCAGTAACTTGGTACCGATTTTTAGACACACCAATGACTGGTTGGTGGTGACTGGAAGAGTTTTTATGACTTTCCATAGATTGGGAATGGAATAATCATCCCATTGGACGAACTCATATTTTTCAGAGGGGTAGGTATACCACCAACCAGTTATGGTCTAGGGGTTAGCTAGACTAGTTCCTTGTTCCTTCATGCCACATGTGCCATGTTCAACAGTTGAGTTATATATGCCCATATTGGGGGGATGGTCGTACCACCGTGAAAAAGGGCGTTTATACATTATTCCGGAATCTTTCATAATGACAGGTAAACATGGTTTCAATATGTCCATATATTTCCATGACCCATAGGATCCATGGTGCTGCTACATATGGTGTGCTATGGATCCCATCAATATACCCCAGTCATGTTAGCAGATATACCAGCACCTGCCGGATCCGTCATGGGTGACTGCCTTGTCTACCCAGTTTTTTGCTGAGGTATCGGATCCCACAGGATATCGCCCCCTACAAAGACGAGTTGGGCGAATGGCACCCTCCGAGACTCTCCGGTCGATACAAGGCGCAAGGAGTCCGTCTGTGAATCGACGAATGGGGAACAAATCTAGAATTCATCAACAAACAAATAGAGAAAAAAAATATATAGAGGATTTAGGATTTTTATTGATGGACTAATGGGATACAGAGATTGGTGAAGGGTAAATAGAACACGCCAACGCCAATGCGCCATGTTGCCTTCACCTGCATCGCCACGAGTGTGCTTGGTCTGGGTCAAAATCGGGGACAGAAAAAACAGGATGGATTGAATTATACAAAAAACAACGTGTGATATATGAATGATATAAATCTGTGAAAATAGAGGATTTAGGATTTTCAGCAAATAAATCTTTGAACATAGAGGATTTAGGATTTTCATCAAAGCAATCTGTGAAAATAGAGGATTTAGGATTTTCATCAAATAAATCTGTGAACATAGAGGATTTAGGATTTTCATCAAATAAATCTGTGAAAATAGAGGATTAAGGATTTTCATCAAAAAAATCTGTGAACATAGAGGAATTAGGATTTTCAGCAAATAAATCTGTGAAAATAGAGGATTAAGGATGTTCATCAAAAAAATCTGTGAACATAGAGGAATTAGGATTTTCAGCAAATAAATCTGTGAAAATAGAGGATTAAGGATTTTCATCAAAAAAATCTGTGAACATAGAGGATTTAGGATTTTCAGCAAATAAATCTGTGAAAATAGAGGATTAAGGATTTTCATCAAACAAATCTGTGAACATAGAGGAATTAGGATTTTCAGCAAATAAATCTGTGAAAATAGAGGATTTAGGATTTTCAGCAAATAAATCTGTGAACATAGAGGATTTAGGATTTTCACCAAAGCAATCTGTGAAAATAGAGGATTTAGGATTTTCATCAAATAAATCTGTGAACATAGAGGATTTAGGATTTTCATCAAATAAATCTGTGAACATAGAGGATTTAGGATTTTCATCAAATAAACCTGTGAACATAGAGGATTAAGGATTTTCATCAAATAAATCAGTGAAAATAGAGGATTAAGGATTTTCATCAAATAAATCTGTGAACATAGAGGATTAAGGATTTTCATCAAATAAATCTGTGAACATAGAGGATTTAGGATTTTCATCAAATAAATCTGTGAACATAGAGGATTTAGGATTTTCATCAAATAAATCTGTGAACATAGAGGATTTAGGATTTTCATCAAATAAATCTGTGAAAATAGAGGATTTAGGATTTTCATCAAATAAATCTGTGAAAATAGAGGATTTAGGATTTTCAGCAAATAAATCTGTGAACATAGAGGATTTAGGATTTTCACCAAAGCAATCTGTGAAAATAGAGGATTTAGGATTTTCATCAAATAAATCTGTGAACATAGAGGATTTAGGATTTTCATCAAATAAATCTGTGAACATAGAGGATTTAGGATTTTCATCAAATAAACCTGTGAACATAGAGGATTAAGGATTTTCATCAAATAAATCAGTGAAAATAGAGGATTAAGGATTTTCATCAAATAAATCTGTGAACATAGAGGATTAAGGATTTTCATCAAATAAATCTGTGAACATAGAGGATTTAGGATTTTCATCAAATAAATCTGTGAACATAGAGGATTTAGGATTTTCATCAAATAAATCTGTGAACATAGAGGATTTAGGATTTTCATCAAATAAATCTGTGAACATAGAGGATTTAGGATTTTCATCAAATAAATCTGTGAAAATAGAGGATTTAGGATTTTCATCAAATAAATCTGTGAACATAGAGGATTTAGGATTTTCATCAAATAAATCTGTGAACATAGAGGATTTAGGATTTTCATCAAATAAATCTGTGAACATAGAGGATTTAGGATTTTTGTTGATGGACTAATCAAATACACAGATTGGTGAAGGGTAAATAGAACACGCCAACGCGCCATGTTGCCTTCACTTGCATCGCCACGAGCGTGTTTGATCTGGGTCAAAATCTGCAACAGAAAAAAGAGGATGGATCGAATTATACTAAAATTAACGTATGATATATGACTGATATAATGTACTAGTATGATTTGTGCCTTGATTTGTACTAACACACATACTAGAATGTATACTCATTGCAACTCGTTTCTTCCAAATCCATCCAAATCCCTTGGACAATGCTTGATTCTGGACGTCTTCGCAGACAGCAATGGCCAATGGCACTACTGAAGACCTGTGATTGATCTTTGTACATAGATCTTCATAGCATTTTGCAAGCCTGGTCCATATGTAGTGGACAGTCTCTGAGGTTGAGCAAGTTGAGGTGATCACGGATGAATGAGTATCCCAACGCAACCAGATGGCTCTATCTCTAGAAGGACTATTTCGAATGGGAAAGTCATGATCAATCCTAATTGAACTATCTATATATCTATCACAACTCATCAGATGTCTCTAAATTTCGAATGACAATTTCGAATGGGATAAACGGATAAACTATGTTTTCTTGGCATCCGAATTTAATGACAATCCCAGATGGGTTCACAGCAAGCCTGCGGAATGCAGGCTGATGTAGAGAAGCAGTACCTTATGAACAGTCTGCCATGGGCTTCTTGGTCGTCGAAACGTAAGTCCCAAGGGCATGGTGTTAGTCACTTGGTCACAGTTGATGTACTGTATGTTGAAATATAATCATCCTACCAATGATGATCTTATAGTCGTGAATGATATGTGAATATATATGAATATATGATAAATTTATGTATATAAATGTATGTGAATAGATGTGAATAGTAATTATTTTCTGAATAATGGGACTTGCCCTCCCTCCAACTTGACATAGACCCTGCCAAACGGAAGTTGGAACACTGCTATTTTACCTGGGGATGTGCAAGGTTTAGTATCAAACTGTTAAATTTGAGGGATTTGTTCAGCTCTGGAAAAAGTGGATCAACTCTGCTGGATAGATAGTTTCAATGGAAGCATTTTGGAATTGAAATAGATGATATATTGAACAGTTGAAATAGATTTTAAAAAAATGAGCCAGACTAGTGGAAACATGATGCAGCTGCATGTGGGTCATTTGCCCCCCCCATTTTCTGTATTTACCCTCTGGTTATTTAACATAGCCATGGAAAGATCCACCATTTTTGAGAACGGTAAACCATCTATTTCTATGGGCCATCTATACCACGGCTATGTTAAATAACCAAACGGTAACAACTATCATTAACCAACCATTATTCACCATTAATAACTATCATTAACCACTATTATATCAACCACACAAAACCATAAAAGCCTGTGTCTAAAGATGACTGAAACCAACAAATAAACCGACCTAAAACTCCTTGCGTTTCACGTCCTCCCAATGACCAAATTCTTCAAACGCCGTGGCGTTTGTTTGACCCCAAGAAATCAATGATTGAAGATGGTATATATATACTAAAAACTAAAGTGGTATAATGGTATAAAGGGGATAAAGGGGATAAAGGGGATAAAGTGGTATATACCATTATATTGAAAAGATGTTGATCCGGGTGCTGGTTTCATTTAAACTGGAGGATTTTGGGCCAGCGATCTCAAACGACTCCCAAGAATCGATATTCGGAATTACTGCATCCAGAATTCAACCCATTTAACGAAGATTTCACAGTAATCCAATTCAACAAGGGGTTTGGAATGGTTTGATCTGCAATTGTTATTGTTAATGGGACAATTGGTTGAATGAATTCTGAATTCAGTTATATTTATTTGCATGGTCATGGTGAATCATGTGAATCCATAAAATGGTTACAGTTTTCATCCTTAAACACCTGGTTTTAATGATTACCCTCTGGTTATGTCAAAATAGCTATTGAACATGGCCCATGTATTTCGTTGATTTACCTTTTAAGGATGGTGATTTTCCATAGTTATGTTAGTTTACCAGAGAGTAATTACTGGATCCTTAACAGTTTTGGATGGCTTTTCACAGGCCAACCAGGTGAAGTCTTCCTTGGGGCCGCAAGGTTTGGTCCAATGACTACTATAACCAGCGCTTGCACATCTGGGACCGGGCTGCTTCAAAGCACCGGTGGAAGGGGGTCTTCATCCATGAGGTGTATATCCTTAGGACCCTTAGGATATCCTTAGGATTGCTGGTGGATGGGGATTAGAGATGAAATCATTTTAACATGAGGTGTTCTTTCAACTATATCACAATTGAGTCTACTGTATGACGTTCCTTTATGTCTTGTTTCCTCCGTGAAAACTCAGCGCCCGACAGTTTGAGACGACCCATGGTCATCAAGATATGACCTGTTTCGCCACACTCATCCACATTTCACCAAGGGGTTTTGGGGGTTGGGTCTAAAACGGATTGGGGGCGATTGTTTCTTTGGTTTACATATTTTTTTGGTAAATGATTTGGATATATTGTGAAGGGAAAACAGCCTGTATACAGTTTAAAACATCCACTCATACAACATATATGAAAATGCTTCCAGCTTCGGCAGGACTGGGAACCTCGTGGGCTGAAGCGATGGTACAAGAAGCACTGGCGCAAGGTTCCCGTCGCCGGGTCTGATCTGATGTCGGTCCTTCCCAGATGCTCCATGGTGCTGGAATATTTACCTACATTTACCCCAGAAATGACCCAGTTCTGTAGGCAAATATTTTTGCAAAAATGGAGCACATGGGCTTTTGCAAAAATGATGGGATAGCAGGTACTGTCATTGAACGCTGTTATAATGGGATAATGATGGGATAATAAGAAGTATCATGACCCATCCTGGGGATAATAATATGGGATAATTAGTTGAGTCAGTCTTACAATGGGATCATTGAGTCAGTTTGCAAAGCCAATGTGTGTTGATGATTTGTTTGAGGATTGTACTTCCCAATAAATTGGAGAGTATCATGAGTATCATAATCCATGAATAACCATTGAATAACCATGATGCCATAAATTGGGGAAATCCTGTTCTCTTTCTGCCGGCAGTTTTTTAAGGGACGACATAAATATCATGGGTGGCTCCGAGCGTCGCATCAATGATCCACAGAAATGGGGATGTTTCAAGCCATGAATTTTTCCGGCTTCATCGAAGGGCAGTCAAACCGAGTTTTGACACATAGCCTGTCATGCCGGAAAAAAAAAACAGCCATTTGATGGATTTGTTTTCTATGGAGAAATGAAGATGATCATAATCCACTGGATTTTCATGATTTTCTCCATGATTTTCTATGGGGAAACAGGGAGCCCATCATGGGGAGCCTTGAATGCTAGTTGCCCTGGATGACTTCTCCAGGGCTTGACAGAAACAGCTCAAGTTGACACGTCATTTCTGGGGGCGTTGAAACACCGGGGCAACCTTAGAACTACGATGTTTCTGGTTCTTGAATGGAAACTGAATATGATTCGATCATATCAAAATATATCAAATATCCGGAGTTACATTTCAAGTTGTGTCGATTATTATCACTATCATAATCACTATTACCATTGTTGTTGTTACCATTTTTTTAATGTATGAATTGTTAAAAATCATATTCCATGTTATCAAACATAAAACATATGAAACAACTAATTATCATAAATTATCATGATAAATAATATGTTATACATTGACATATATATATACATAAATATGTAATATATATATATATATACATAATAAACTATATATACATTACCACTTATATGGTATACCACTTTTATCTTCCTCCAAGTTCTTCTCGCCTTGCAGGCGCAAGTCGATGAAGCCTTGAAACGCGCGGATGAGATGATCGAAGACTACCGCAAGGAACGCCGCCAGGCCTGCTTCATCGCTGGGTAAAACGCGCGGAGATGTTGCGTGTTTTTGTTTTTTGAGTTGACGGTTGACATATGTGAAATCTTGTGGGATGGTTTGGTATCCTGGAATTTTGAGCGAAAAGAATGGTTCACTTGAAGTTGACTCTGACACAAGAATTTTGAAAAAGGCTGAAGTTTGGGAACGAACACTGGTGGGTATAGCAATAATATGCAGTTTTATACAGCTGGATACAGCTGGATTCATGTTCATATTGAAGGGTCCTTTTTAAACAATTAAAAGAATTAAAACAATTGATATGGCAGTATGTGGCTTAAGCGCAAGGCCAAGAGACTGAGCTGGATCGAAACCATTGTGAAGGAGTCGGGAAGCCAACTGCCTATGGCAAGGCATCCAAATGGACTCAGCTGTCCAGGTTTTCATGTAGGAAAACCCATGGAAAACCATAGATTTCATTATACTGGGATTATACTGGTTAATAATGCTTCATGATGGTCATTACTGGTCATTAATGGTGATGCTTCGTGATGGTTTAGTCGTCATACACAACCTTTGGAGCTGTATACAGTGTTTTTCGTGCTGCACTAAGGGATAGACTACAGTAATCTAAAGTGATGGTTCGTGAATAGCTCGCATTTATCCAGATCAATGGCATAATGTACCGATGGAACAAGTGTTGACCACGATTACCAATGTTTCCTGGAGTTGCTGAATCGATGATTTAACTTCTTTTCCGGGAAATTCACTTGAAATGGGGGGAATCTATAGGGAATATTTTTTTTTTGGGGGGGTCCTTAAGCAATTCCAAGTATATATTTAGGGGCTAAATGGCATCAGAATGGGACAACCATGGAAAACGGATAAAGATAAGAATGGTCGGTAAAAAAACATGGATTTAGGCCACCTGGGACCTGGACCCATGGAAAATGGAGCTGTAGGCCAGCCATGGAGCCATGGACAATGGGGGAAAACCTGTGATTTTTTTTGCAATATTTTACCCGGCCTGGTACGTTTACATAGCTATGGAAAATCACCATTTTTAATGGGAAAATCAACTATAAATGGTCATTTTCCATAGCAAACTGTTAGTTTACCAGAGGGTAGATGAACCATGATGAACACGGGGCGAGCAGCGAGCATGCGAAGATATATAGATGGGGACGAACAACAAGAAAACTCACAATTTCACCAATGACTGGTTGGTGGTTTGGAACATGACTTTTATATATATATATATTTGCATAATATAAATGGGAAAAATCATCATCCCAACTGACGAACTCCATCATTTTTCAGAGGGCTAGGGCTCAACCACCAACCAATCCTATTTGTTTGGGAATTTCACCCATGACAAATGGGGTCTGTTCAGGAAGCCAGGAACGATCCTAAGGAGATCACGAGAAATCTTGTCCCATGTGCAAACATCCCCCATCTTTCAGTCACAGATTGGAATTTTATGATGCTTTATGCTGGTTTGACCTAGTCCCATATTTCAAATATGCCACATGTACAATAGATGGTTTATGATATCATTTGACCTGGCGACCATGTTCAGGAGTGACTGATTTGACCTGGCGATCATGTTCAGGAGTGCGAATGTATTCCCATTTTGTTCGCGCGAGATTGAAGCGTAAAGTTCTACATCAAGTTGGTTCAAAGATCCTATGCTTGTTGATTGCTGCTGGTTGATTTACCATGTTTGTTGATTGTTGATGATGTCCCAGTTGATTGTACATATCCCAATATTCAATATTTCATGCCTTTTATGATCTAGCGTCATCACCTGCTCAAAAAACAGTTATATATATATATATATCAACTTACAAACTGGGTGGTCCACCTTACCTTGTTTTCTTTGGCTTAGTAGGCTTAGTCAATCGAGGTTTGCGGGAAATGAACTTGCTGGGCCCTACATCCGGCAGCAGAAGAAGCCTGGGGGCCCGGTCCTGCGGGCCAGAAAAGGATGCAGAAGTTCGTCCAATTCCATTGAACCATGCTACATTTTCTCTGTGTTTTGTGTATTTTTTGCTTGGAGCTTACGAAACAACATCTACAAATCATCTACTTATATAAGAGGATAGATGAGCATTAGATGAGCATTAGCCCGACATTTTCCAGATGGAATTTCTCCAAGCGTTATGGCTGAACCCCACGGGTCATGATGGGGCTTCACAGCGGGTCGCTGGGATCTGATCGACAAGCCATTCACCAGCCAGTGCGACTGTTGGGGATGGTTTATTGTGAATATCCCATCAAGTATATATATAATATATTCATACTTAATATTAATAGTAATATTTATATTTATATTAATATTCATATTTATATCTATATTTGTGTGTGTGCCGTGTTTGATAGGATTCATCCTCGCTTCTGTCGGTTGGAAGGGCAACCCAATTCAACGACGATGAGGATTCCCCATTTGCATTGCGTGTTGACTGCACGATTTCCAGCAGTTGTTTTTGTTTCAATAGTACTTACTGTAATATGTATATATATATATATCTGGTTGGTGGTTTGGATCATTTTTTATTTTCCATAATATATGGGATAATCCTTCCCATTGACTTTCATATTTTTCAAGATGGTAGGTTAACCACCAACCAGATGGTTAATAGTAATGGTTGATATAATATGATATAATAGTGGCTAACCATATATTAACCATATATTAATCATATATTAACCATCATTAATCTATGGTAAACTAACCACCCTGACATAGAGAGAGAGAGAGATGTGACATCCCTGAGATCTCCATTCTGATGGTCGCTGGAAGGAGCCATTGTCACCAGGCCTCTCCAGAAAAGCCCAGGCTATTAGATTTGATGTATTCCCAATTATTTTTTGGGATTATATATCACGATATTATTTAATATATATATATATATCATAGATGGCCATTCCCATATATAGAGATTTACTATACAAATCTTATAAACATTCCCTTCGTTTCAGATTGTCTTTGCCAGGACAGATGCTGAAGACTTTCCCACCTGGTTTTATGTGTTTCTTTTTGTTGTGACCCCCCGGTAGTCCCTGTGTTTGAACAACAGATCGATTGTTTGGTTAAACCCATTTTGTTGAGATCAGTATATTTGTTTTGTGGTTAAATATGTTAAATGAAAGTAATACATACTAATACCCCCTTTACTTCCTTCGATCCCATGAAACATCAATCAAATTGGTTATATATATATATGACGTGTGATTCTTTTTAGGGTTGATTTATGTTGATTTGCCTATGACGTTTGGTGGATTTTGGTTGGTTGAGAGCGGCATACCACTCAGCAAAGCCGTTCGCTCAGCCAACCGAGGCCGAAACTCTGAGTTTCTTCCGCCCTTCGCATCACAACTGCATTTCGCTTGAAAAAGGTGGCAGGGACTGGAAATCCATGGGGTAATGAATGACAGGGTCTTGTGATGCTGAAAAAATGGATAATGTTAGAATACATTTGATAACATGTGATAACCCATAATACGGGTTCTTTCTTCGCGTTCTTTCTTCGCATTCTTTTTCTATGGTCAGTTTGGAAGTAGAAAGAGTTTGTGACAGCAACAGTTGGGTAGCAATGGCACCAACAGAGCTCATGGGGATAGAAAAAAACACTGGTTATGACTAACATAGCCATGGTATAGATGGTCCTTAGAAATAGATGGTTTACCGTCCTTAAAAATGGGTGGATCTTTCCATGGCTATGTAACAAATAACCAGATGGTAATTCGATTCAGTTTCAAAAACAGGATCCTGAATCTCCACAGTATCAGTCAGATTCCTAGATTCCAGCCACTCTGGAAACTCGCGAAACGAGATCCCAAAAATAGACCTGGGTGCAAATAAGATATATTTGGTGGGTCCACGATGATCCTCAATGATTAAATGAACAACCAAACAGAAATGGGCTTTTTGCTAGAAATGACCATGAAATGACCCGCGACATGGTGAATTCCCTTGCTTTTTTCTGCGTGTTTTCACTGGGGGAATGCCCCATTGGGGCTTGATCGGATGGGGTGTGTGTCGACCATCTCAGGCTCCACAAATTCAACCAGGAAAATCAGACAGGAACCACCAATTGCATTCCTGAAGCCATGTTTTTCCCCTAGAGGGCTTGATTCCAGATGCGAAGCCAAGTCACCAACTTTCCATTAGCCACGCCTGACCCACTGCACCAGCCAAAAAAATCAGCTTTACCCAACTCCCCAGCCACCAGCCAGCCCCCAACCCCAGCCACCATCTCGCACCAGCGTTAAACAACGGACCGGGTCCGATGTGAATTTCTCATGGCGGAAGCAACTGCTGATGGGGCAATGGTGACTTGGAATCAAATGGGGTACCCTTCAGGTGGTTTCCTGAAGACGGGGGACCCCCAAATCATCCATTTTTGTTGGGGATTTGTCCATTCTAAACCATCCATTGATTGGGATCGCCCCGATCGCCCCCTTGGAATGCCTTGGATATTGCGGTGTGCCGAGGATTGGGTCTTTTTTCCCAAGGCAAATCCACCAACTGAGGGAACCTCTTGGGCTATAGCCAGTAATGGCATGGAGTGGAAGGAATTTTGAGACACACCCAAATGCCGCTACTTTTTTCAGGCTGATTGGTGGTTTGGAACATGTTTTATTTTCCATTTCATATAGATGTCATCCTTCCCATTGACGAACTCCATCATTTTTCAAGATGGTAGGTCAACCACCAAGCAGCAGGGGATGCTTCGTGTCATGGTATTTTGACGACACAAGAGACCAGGCCCTCGACCCTGCAAACCTGGCAGTTCAAAGCATGTTTTTGAGTGACCATGTTTTTTCTTCGCGACAATTCATATTAATGTTAATCCAAAAAGATTCAACAAGGATGTAAGCTTAAAGCAAAAGCACACATAAAAGGATACATCAGCTTTGACTAGGCCTGATCCATTGAAGAATATATATATATACAACACATTACATGAAACAAAAACATTACATGAAATAATAAATATATATATATATACAGCAACTTAAATGATTTATATCCTATGGGTCCAAACACAGGTCCTAACATCCCCAAGTATTGATAGGTAGTTTACTCCTTTAGTTTTTTTTTTGCAATTTGTCAAATAATCATCACCAGCGAAATAATCAAAAAAAGTGGACTACCAAAGATTGACAATGATAAGGTATTTACCCTCTGGTAATTTAACATAACTATGGAAAATCACCATTTTTCAATGGGAAAATCCACTATAAATGGCCATTTTCAATAGCTATTTTGACATAACCAGAGGGTAACTTAACCCATCTGAAGCTCCAGCCATGGCTGACATTTCCCCCAGTCCTCTGCTGCGAACCTACCGGCTGGACCGGCCGGAGGCGTCTGGCCTGGGCTCCGAAGCGGCCTTCGCCGTGATCAATGAGGCGAACCAACTGGGGACATGTCGAAGGATTTTATAGCCACTAAAACATACTAAAACCCTATAAAGGTGGTTGGAAAGTGTTGGGAGAAGTCTGTCACTCAGACTTGGTCAGCCTTGGCTTTTGTAGCTTACTGACTACATAGGTTCTTTACAACCAAACATGGTGATTACAATCTATCTATATACTACATAAGATATGCAATCCTATGAATGTTAATAAACTTTTGATTTTGCAGTACAGTGTATGAATACACAGCATTATGCATTATCCTACATGTATCTGGGTAAATTATAACGACCTCACTGCGACCTCACTATAATCATAGTTAGTAAGGGGAAATATCCCCAAATGACCTTATTTCAGGTTAGTGAATTATTATAATTTACCCAGATGTATACATGTATATACAGTATAGAGATCACTGAGATCTGGACATATCTGGCATTTTCACCACCCCAGCAACGCGTTCGCGACGCGGCAACGCGTTGCAGGCGTGGTTCCAGATTTTGGCCAACGGAAGTTGTGCAGACCTCTCTGCGGCCGGATGTCTGGAGCCTTGGTGTTTTTTTTTCGTTTTTTTGGGTGGGTTGATCATGAAACAAAACATATTGAGGACGTAAGTAAAAAGTGTTATTGTTGTGCGTTTATATATATATATAGTTTATATGTGTTTATATGGGTCTGGGTTGACCATAGATACAGAGGTTAAACGAAGCAAATATGGGACATAGCTTGGGACATATAGAAGCTAACTATCAAGAATATTGGTGCTTTACCATTAAGAAATGGGGATTGAATCGACGAAGTATAGGAACTTATTATAACATGATACAACTATGCAACTGTCAAGACTAAGGGTAAAACGATTGGTGGAGGGGTAGAGCAGTCTAATATGTTTTGGGCGTAATGATGTATATTGTAGACAGATAAACACATTTACTCTATATGCGTACGTGATACGATCCAGCGAGAGCAATCATGGGGCCGGGATGTGGGATGTGGGAAATCCATGGAAATCCTACGCGATCCATAGCTCGTAACTTTACCATTGGAGTTTGCAAACATTGTGTAGAGCGGTTCTTCATTGCGTTTGCCGCATTCATGTTTTTTTTTTTGTAATATATATATATTGCTATATATATATATTGATCACATATATTAGCTGTAAATGAATATCGATGTGGAAAAGCCACCATGAATGTATATAGATGATTTTCCGAATGGTTTTCTCCATGGGGTTTCCACATCTTTTTGAGTTTACCCCAGGGTAATCCATATATACATATGCATATGAATCAATAACAATTCATAATGATCCACAATTATCCACAATAATCATATATACTTATATATAGAAACAAATATATATATATATAAACAAATATATATATATATACTATATACATTTCCATCTGGATCCCTATGAATCCTGTCCGGCGCCAGGTGGCACACCGGCCCTGTTGGATCTGTTGACGGGGGTTGAGTTGTCCTCGGGTGCGCCAAACAGCCATGGCTTGGGAAGTGGAAAGATGGACAGGGCTTGGTTTAGTTGTCTAAAACAAATATTGATTTTTATCATTACTTTCAGATTATTTTTAAGATAGTTGGATATTTTTTGTCCTCGTTGAGTGATGTTCAATCAAGAAATTTATCAACCCCTGATAGATATATATATGTATAGAGTTTGTTATAGTTTATAATGTGAATATGAACATCATATATATATATATATCCACATAGAAAAAAAAAACACATACTGTAATTATATATATATGTACATATGGCTTGTAATTCAGAGGATAGGTATATGGGAAACATGTGATTCAACCATTCCTATCCTTCCCATTCATTTTGTAACCAAGGATATTGGCTATATAAACCCCATATGCCCTGATCATGCATTGTTTTTGTCCAGTTGGAAACGAGCACTTGGACTATTTGGGGGCTTTCCCATGGCAGGCTGCATGTGTGCCCGTTATTCACTCAATACATATTGCATCCATGGGAGACGAGGTCTGTTTTTTTCATTTGGTTTTTGACCCCATGACCTGGAGGAAGGTCTCAAAAATCACATGATTTTTGGTACATGTCAACCCTGGATGAATGTCAACCCCAAACGGCCCAAACGGCTGTTTAATTGGGAGGATACCATTTATGTACCATATTGTGATTATTTGGAGGGTACCTCCTAATTAATTCTTCCATGGTTTGTCAGTAGAATTCAGGACTCCCGCGGTCCGATGTTCTGGGTCCCCCTTTGCTCCCAGGTGTCCTTGGCGCCTACACGCCTGCGTTGCGACACACGGATGTATGCGATGCAACACGGTGGAAATTACTTGGGACTGCGGCAGACCGTTCCCGTCTCAGGGTGATATTTGGAACGGAATTGTTAGGTATTCCATGGTATTCCTGACCATCCCAATAAACAATTCAGGGACAGCTGGGGATTGCGATTATTTTGTTTGGACACTACATAACGAGAATGAAACAAATATAGATACCAGTGTTTTCTTCAAGTTCTGCAGTTAGATGGTTTGCTTAATAATCTTTTCAACAACAGCAAGCATCAATGTGATGGTTCTTCATGCTGATGTGTGGCGCATATTGATGGTAGATTTAACTGATTCTTTTGAAGTACAACCAACAAAAACATCTTGTTTCTGGAATATTATATATACATACCCATATTTATTTATATAATATATATATATATATATATCTATATATGTATTATATATATTAGATTATATATATATAGATTATATTATATCATATCATATTATATCATATCATATCATATCATATTATATTTATATATATCATATCATATTATATCATATCATATCATATTATATCATATCATATCATCTCATATCATATTATATCACATCATATTATATTATATCATATCATATCATATTATATCATATCATATTATATTATATTATATTATGTTATATTATATTATATTATATTGTATTATATATGTACAAATTCAACTAGATTGTATCATCCCCAGCGGTTTATGACGTTCTCAGGCCTATGGCGGCAGTTTGATGCTCCAGAAGGAGGAGAGCGGCACATTTCGTCCATGCCATGGTCGAGGCAGTTGGAGTTGTCCCTGGTAATTTGTTTTAAAAAAAATATGGGACTACTATGGACCATTGAACATTTACTAGAATCCAGGTTGTTTTTGTTTCGTGTTAATCGTAAATGGTGATGTTGATTAAACTATTGTTCATCTTTAGCTATGGAGAATCACCATCTTGAATAGGTACAGAATCGAACATTATACAACCATCAATCGAAGGTCATACCGCCCCAGGGACCTAGAGAGTAAACCATGTGGTCTGACCATGATGCACATATCTTTCCCTGGTTAAATAGGAATTTCATGGGAATTTAACCATCATAGGGGCTTTAACCGCAAAACACATGAGGATAGAAATATGATGGAAATCGTCTATAATTGTTTGGAATCCCATCCCCTAGTATTAAAATGTATCAAACACTCCCATTCTATGGTCCCAAACATGTGTAAATCCCCTCCTACACCTTGGTTCTGGGGTCTTTAATTCAGATTAATTCAGGGGGATGAATATATAATGGGATTTATCAAACTTGGCCACTCACTGAAATCCCCCCATATGGAAAAGCAACATGTAGGTTCATTGTAGTTTTTCGTGAAACCATTGGAAACTTAGTTTTTTTAAATCATGTTTGATTTCTAGAGGGTACAAGTAGTTACTTAAGCGTTTGATTTCGCGAAGGTACAGACGAAAAGTACCTAAAGCAAGGTGGTTGTTTTGATGGTCACCCCATCAGGCAATTTGAGTGTAATATAGTGCAATTAAATCTGCCAGAAACATGCATCCATATTCATCCATATTTAACCATGGAATTCTTCATCCAAAATTCGTGACAAACTGCCAGTGATTTCAGAGTCCCAACTCATTACATGAGTAAATCCTCGAGTCGTTCAGGTTGGTTGGTTGGTTAACAGACCCCCTCATGGGACAGACCCCGGACCTGGACGAACCAAACCAATGTTTTGATGAATTTCTTGTCGGTTGAAGATATGCATATATAGCTGGGATCGTAGATTTTCCTGGCGAAAGCACCATCTTGATGCCATGTTCCATGCTTTGAGTCTTTCCTCTTCTGGCTTCAATCTTCTATAAAGACCAGATTAAAACAACAAGTGCACAAAATTTACCACAGTTCCCCCAAAAAATCTTAGTAAACTGAAGTCACCTCAGTATCCTAAGCCATGGTTTGTCCTATGGTTTTTTCCATGGCAACAACGCTTCCCAGGAGTGGGATCGGCTCATGTTCGGCGTCCGCGAACTCTGGGGCCCCAGCCAAGTGCTGCGCAAGGCGGCCGTCTCCGCATGGAAGTTACAAGATACAAGGTGAAGAAGGTGTTCAATATATATATATATATATATGTATGTATATATATATATATATATACTTAATGGTGTATATATATATATAGTTTTATAGTTAATGATGGTTAATCATAGTTAATCATATAGTTAATCTATATGTGAATCCAGTAAGCCAACTATAATTTGTTTCCTGTGTTTCTGGTAGCTATATCCACAATAGTGAATTTTGAGGATAGTACGAAGTAGTTTGATATCCCATAGGATCCATGGTGCTGGTATATATGTGCTAACATTTGGGGTATAATGATGGGATCCACGCTACCATACATGGATCCTATGGGTATATCTACAATAAAACATATAGTTACTGTCAATCCAGTTACCAAACAAAGCGAGGGAGCACCAAGTTGGAGCACTTGACGCTTCCCCGGGACCAAGTCCATGCCCAAACGGTTTGAGCATGATGATACTTACGAATTTCCTGTGACATATAAGGTATGACATGAAATTAGATAATGGATCTTGAGTTGTTTTTCTTGTTTTTTTTGAATAGGAAGTATAACTTAGATGATAATGATAAAACCATGGAGATACAACCATCCAAGACCAGAACGATAGTGGATTATCCCCCAACTGATTATTTCAAGAAGATATGACCGGATGGAAATGCTGTGATCCAGGGATAGCCACTCGGTTTAAGCGATCCAAAGGCGCTCACCGGTTGTTAGAGGGACCAGTATAGACTCCTGTCCTCCGGCATTTCGAAGTTTTCCAGTCAAATTTCATCAAATTCCACTAAAGTCCATTAAATCCAATTCAAGTCCACTAAATCCTATACCTCAATCTGGGTTTTGCTAATTTTTGCGTATGAAACTGGAGCACCACATGGTGTTTTTGTCAGGCAGTGGTAGCTGTGGGCCGTGACAACCGGTCCCTGCTGGCACATGTCGTCCCTTAACGAAGAGCAACGGGGGGAGGGGGCAAAACGGCAGGAACGGCGGATCTCTATGTCATTTTATTGGGTGATAATGTGGGTTTAACCAGCAAAATATGGGATCAAAATATGGAATATTCATCGAAATTTCATGGAATATAATCCACACAATGGAGCAAACATGGTCTACAATCAGCAAACATTTGGTGATACAGTGATACAGTTGATGAATGATGGTTGGTTGATACCATTTTGATGCTGGAGAGGAGGAACGGAATTGACAACCTGGAGGTTGCCAGAATTAGTGATTTGTGGTGAGTAACTGGTGTGCATCCTGCTACTTAATGGAGGTTATAAATATAACTGGATACATGATAGTTGATGATTATTTGCAATGTGGTTCCCCAGTTCGTTCTCTAAGTTGGTTAACTTGCTGCGGATGGGGTAAACTCGTGCTATTGAGGACTTTGGGATGGTTGATGATTTGTCGGAGCTTTTACTACCTGTATTGGATCTACCCTCTGGTAATTTAACGTAGCTATGGAAAATCACCATTTTTAATGGGAAAATCCACTATAAATCACCATTTTCAATAGCTATGTTAAATTACCAGAGGGTAATTGGATCTAATTGCGGATGGTTCTCCGTTGCGTCACATCTAAACCTTCTTCGCTCTAGACATTGTAGACATCGCATGACATTGCAGTCGGCCAGCTACTCTGAGAGTGAACCTGGAGCCAGGTGATGACCAGATCGGAGTCCGAGGAAATGTATTTGGTGGCGCAATCACTTTTTCCGGATGAAGCGGAGGAGCCCTTGAGATGGATTTTGGTTTGAGCTGTTTTGTCGTCGGCGCTTTTTTGACACATCTTTGGCATTGCTTGGAGATCCGCCTTCCACAGTGACTCCGTGTTTCTTTGGAACCCACCGAGTGACAGTCGCAAGGTCTGGTGCGCCGTGGGGTTGGCAAGTTTTCTGGTTTAGATCTTGTGTATGCATCGCTGGTGTTGCGAGCGAGTGGAAGTCGGATGGTGCACAGCTGGATCCCCTCAAGCAGCGGGATTTTTTAATACAATTGAATCTTCAGGATCAGGCAGCACGCATTAAATGCGTGACGGCCATGTGCATCATGGAAATAGGCTCATCGCGGTGAGGAATTTGCAAGACCGAATCGGAAGGGTAAAAGGTGTCTTGTTTTTTTATTTATATATATTGGCTTTGTTTTATATATGTCAAATCCATCAACCCTGTTGAACTGAGAATCACAATTAACATCAATTAACAAGCCATTGCTTTGAAATGATGACATGAACCCAAAAATAGGGTTAAGTTGCTGAGTGTTGCCAATCATTTGTTATTTGTCTTGATTTTTTGACACTTTGAAGTCATGAACAGTGGAGTTTTTTTTTTTTAGTCATAGCCTTGTGGTTCCGCCTTGGAAGTCAGAACCGGCTTTAGACATCATGTTTGGTTTGGGAATTATCATAAATCAGTGTGGTCTCTGGTAAACTAACATAGCTATGGAAATCACAATTTTTAATAGGTAAATCAACTATAAATAGGCCATGTTCAACAGTTACCCTCTGGTAATTTAACATAGCTATTGAAAATTGCCATTTATAGTGAGTTTTCCCATTCAAAATGGTGATTTTCCACAGTTATGTTAGTTTACCAGAGGGTATGTTAAATTACCAGAGGGTACTGTGTACATCTGGGGAAACTGTGTCCTTACTGCGACGACGCAGCAAATGATGAGGAACCAAGACGCAAATCAGTGTCTGAATCAGATGGGTGACTTAGCATGTCATGATTTATCCAGATGATTCGGATTATTCCATTATGTCCTTCCTCTTCTCAAACTATGAACTGTTGGTTTGGGTTGGTGGTTTGGAATTGTGCAGATATCCCAATAGTAAGAATCCTCTTGCTAGGTTTTTTTTTTGGGATTCAAGAACACCAACCCAGTTCACCCACAGGGCAATTTTACATTGCTATAACTATAACACATCGAACTAGATGGGTCATGTCTTTCATGGCTTTCCGTCAACTCCCATGAAATCTCTATGATATCCCAATGGAATCCCAATGACAAACCATTTATATATTGATTTATATTGATTTATATTGTTTTTATTGATTTATATTGATTTATATTGATTTATATTGATTTTTATTGATTTATATTGATTTATATTGATTTTTATTGATTTTTATTGATTGATTTATATTGATTTATATTGATTTTTATTGATTTATATTGATTTATATTGATTTATATTGATTTATTGATTTATATTGATTTATATTGATTTTTATTGATTTATATTGATTTTTATTGATTTATATTGATTTATATTGATTTTTATTGATTTTTATTGATTTATATTGATTTATATTGATTTTTATTGATTTATATTGATTTATATTGATTTTTATTGATTTTTATTGATTTATATTGATTTATATTGATTTTTATTGATTTATATTGATTTATATTGATTTTTATTGATTTATATTGATTTATATTGATTTATATTGATTTTTATTGATTTATATTGATTTATATTGATTTATATTGATTTTTATTGATTTATATTGATTTATATTGATTTATATTGATTTATATTGATTTATATTGATTTATATTGATTTATATTGATTTTTATTGATTTATATTGATTTATATTGATTTTTATTGATTTATATTGATTTATATTGATTTATATTGATTTATATTGATTTATATTGATTTATATTGATTTATATTGATTTTTATTGATTTTTAGTGATTTATATTGATTTATATTGATTTATATTGATTTATATTGATTTATATTGATTTATATTGTTTTTTATTGATTTATATTGATTTTTATTGATTTATATTGATTTATATTGATTTATATTGATTTATATTGATTTATATTGATTTTTATTGATTTATATTGATTTATATTGATTTTTATTGATTTATATTGATTTATATTGATTTATATTGATTTATATTGATTTATATTGATTTTTATTGATTTATATTGATTTATATTGATTTATATTGATTTTTATTGATTTATATTGATTTATATTGATTTATATTGATTTTTATTGATTTATATTGATTTATATTGATTTATATTGATTTATATTGATTTATATTGATTTATATTGATTTATATTGATTTTTATTGATTTATATTGATTTATATTGATTTATATTGATTTATATTTCTGATTATATAAATCAGGGATGATCACTATATTGTCAGTTATAACACGTTTTCTCCAGTGAACAGCCTATGAATTTACAAATCCATTTTGGTGATATTCCCCATAAGATTCCATTACGGCCTTGTTATGGGGAATTCTCATGAATTCTTCATAATTCCATATTTCCAATAAAATCAGTTTGTTATATTCCATAACAATCCATAACATGGCATGGTTGCAACTATATCTTCTCATGAAATCTCTTCCATAATTTAGGGGTGCTAGAACCCATTGAAAAAAATGTGGTTTTGTGCCGCGCCCAGTTTGAATTTGGTATATAACCATCATTTGCTATACTTATAAGTAGTATATTTATATACATATAATATATATATAATATATATAAGCAGAAAAACCGTAGATATCTAGATCTATTAGTCACAAAGCAGTTGCTCATAAAACAGCTGTACATCCCATGAAATCCCAGTGGCCGAGGCTGACCTGGCAAAGGACGGGGACAGGTTTTGCCACGCCGCAGTGCTCATGTTGTTGCAGGCGCCCTTTCTGCCGAAGAGATCTTGTTATCATTATAAGTATATCGCAATTATCTATATATATATATATCCCCAATTATGAAGTACTATAAGTTGTGTTTGAAGCCCTCCAAACTAGTTCGATATATCTACTAGAAATAATCTAGCTATAAAGCGACTTAGCTAAGTAGGTAGCAGCTGGTTTCAACACGGGATCGTTCAAACATGGGCAGGAAAGTTGGAGGAACAAGTATGAGCGATTCATGTGATAAATCCAATGACAAGGCAGAATAGGTGTTAATTGTCGATTTGATTGTCGAGTCTCCAGGGGTCCCTATGGGATTCTCATGGGACCTTCAAGATTTCAAAAGGTCCTCTTCAGAAACCGCTACTAAGCCACCCTATGATTGTGGTCATAGTTTTGCACCGTTGCAACAACTTGCGCTTGGTCTTGATTGAGGTTTGGTAACTGCCGTAAGACAGCATGTCTTCGTAGGAACAATGAGCGGGATCACCCCGTGATTCTGCTGTTTGCTGTTTGCAGAGTTTCAGGAATTGACATCAATCGCCGCTCACTTATGATGTTTCCGAAGGAATACCAATAAGCCATAATAAGCCCCGAGACCATTGGGGGTCTCGTTATTTGCTTTACCAATTGTCCTCCAATAATTAGTTCCGGGACTTCCCAGTGCCCCAGTTTCATGAGAGATGTTTTTACCATGATGGAAACATGATTCCTTATCCACTAATCATCATTCATAATTATTAAATGAACATTAGTAATGAAATGATGATTAGTGGTTAATAACCATTATTCATTAACCACTAAATAATGATTAATGAGAATTATTCACCACTAATCATGGTATTCAAAATGATTTCATCGTAATTCATGATGACAATTATGACAATTATTAACCACTATAATCATCATCCAAAAAACCATCGTTAACCATCATTCACCGTCATTCACCATCATCAACCATTATTAATCATGAACCATTATCCTAACCATCCTGATTTGGACGATCATCATTTATGCGACTCACCTCATCAACCGCACGTCCGAAGGCCACGTTAAATGATCCCTCGATTTCCGGTGCTAAGGGCTATATCTATATCCAGGGACCAGCATTTGATGTTTATGTTTGGGGGTGTATACTTAACTTACGTATGTTAATAAGCGGTTTATACTGGTAATAGAACTCCCAATACATCCCATGATCATCACATGGTGTCAAAGATTAGCCATGAAATGTTTTTTTTGCCCACATGTTTGTTGATCAAAATCATACTCCCATCATTCTTGAATAATCCCATTCAAAACCGATTGAAATAGCCAAAACCCAGTAAAACCAGATTTGTTTCGATATGTTTCGATCAAATCGCAAGTTTTCGCTAGTGAAAACCTGTTAAAACGATGGTAGTTCCCAGTAAAATCACGAGTTTTGCTTGTTCAAACATGTCCTCATTTTTCGGGCCCCGGAACTTCGGCGGCTGTACCAGGCCGCCGCCCAGCTCGACCGCAACGGTCCTCTGGCGCTGCTGAAACGGCTGCCAGATGGGGAGGAAGTGGCCGCACCTCGGCTGACGGATACCCATAGGATCCATGGTGCTGCTATTTGTTTGGTGTGCCAGCCGGATCCCATCAATGTCAGCCCCAGTCATGTTAGCATTTTTCTACCAGCACCAGCCGGATCCGTCATGGGTATGGTTAGTACTGTAAGGGGGGGATCATTGCCAAGATAGCCAAAAATGTTTCAGGTTAGTGAATCATGATAATTTACCCAGGTTGTGGTTATTATATGGTTATTTTATGGTTATTATATGGTTATTGTATGGTCAATATCTGTTAATATTGGGTGGTAATGGGTTTCCATAGTCATGGGGGTACCCCAATACTTGGATGGTTTATTTCATGGAAAACCTCTGAACATGAATGATTTGGGATGATTTAGGGGTACACCGACACCCATTTCAGGAAACCTCCAAAATGAAAAAAAAAAACATATAATCAACCATCAAAAAATCGTTTTTTTCATCAACGAATGATATGGGATGGTATGGGATGATATGGGTCTGTCTGAAAATAGGGTATCCCCCACATGGCGATTTCGAACGGGTACATGATGATTAACCAGTGGGTTTAGGGGTACATTGCTCAGACAACGCCAAATCCAGTCGAAATGAGGCTTCATTTGATTGTCCATGAACAAATTATATAAATGATGTCTATAATTTATAATTGTGTTGAAATGGCAGACAAATCGTGATAATTTGATGGAGCCTGTTTGAGGTTTCATGAACAAATGGGAAACATCATGGGAACACCTATGAAACCATCAATATCATCAGTATATGACGGGGATATCATGGTTGGATCATCCCAGCATAAGTGGCCGTGGTCTTCATAAGCCTGGGGTTATCCCATCCATTGCGCAAGGATGATCTAACCGAAGTAGATAAATTATGATAAATTAAGGCGTGTTTACCAAGCATACTCCGAAAAAACACTGGTGACATGAACTACTTGAAGTTTTTTGGCATGTGGTGATATGAACTATTTGAAATTAACTTATTTTGGCCTTGTGATACATTGTCCACAAAGGGGTTGGGGAACCCAAGAAAACGCAATTTGAGTGCGGAGAATGACCAGAGTTGCTCCCACCTCTTGTAGGCAAATGATTGACAGATATTGAATGATATTGACTGTTTTTGAAATTGGTCATTTTATCTCTATTCTTTGCCAATTTCCCCTCCAAATGTATCTGGTGATAATAACCAGCAACATGATAATTAACTACAAGCATAAACTATCGCACCGATGTGAAACAAATAGTGTCATTTATAAATATATCTGTGAAAACTACTTGGGGGTGCATATGTTTTTGTTTTAAATGGGACTTGCTGGGATTCAAGAACAAAACATGGGACAACCATGGGATAATCCGACCCTGGAACTGCACCCCCACTGGGGAAACGGACGTATATATTTGTTTGGTTCAACCGTCCAGAAATTGGGATTTTTGAATTTTCACAAACATATCCCATGACGGATCCATGGTGCTGCTATATATGATGTGCCATGGATCCCATCAATGTCAGCCCCAGTCATGTTAGCATTTTTCTACCAGCACCTGCCGGATCCGTCATGGGTATGGAACCAATCTACCAGATTCGACACTTGTTTGGCCTGCACGGGCGGAGCACCATATGTTTGAATTCCCATGGAATAACTAGGGTTCTATGGCCCTTTCATTTCATTACCAGCACAAAGCCAATACCCTCTGGTAAACTAACATAGCTAGGGAAAATCACCATCTTCAAGTTCGGTAAATCAACGAACTAAATGGGCCATGTTCCAGTTCGCAAGCTGTAACAAATTACAAGAGGGTATGTTGTTAAAGTACCAAATCATCCATTGTAATAGGATTTTCCACTATAAACCATACCCTCTGGTAATTTAACATAACTATAGAACATCACTATTTTTAATGGGTAAATCAACTATAAATGGTCATTTTCCATAGCAAACTGTTAGTTTACCAGATGGTACATTTGGGGGTACCCCCATGACTATGGAAAGCCCCATTTTTGGAGGTGTCCTAAGTCATGTGGCTTTCTTTCCACATCACCCAGGCTATGCCAGAGATGAAGCGCCTTGACGTTGATGTTGATGTTGGGGGCCACCTGGGGATGATATTCTGCAGAAAAATCTAGTTGTAAATCTGTAAAGCTAATCACGTTAATGTGAAACTGGATGAAGTTGCAGAACAAAAAAAGTTTGTTGTAAAATCTGTAGAATGACGCCCACATGTTTGTGATTGATGTTGCCCCATCAACTAGTTTGATATATACAAGTATGTATCTACAATAGAACTTATTTTGTGGAGTTATGTTTACCAACTTAGCTAACAAACTGGGGCACCACCTTGTCGTTCCCCAAAACTGGGACTTGATATGGGAGCTTTTGCTGTTATGAACACGGAACATGTTTGCCGTCCGAAGTCATGGAATTCTCCACATGACTGCGCGTCTCAGTACCAAAATGTGTCAATTTGTATCGATAGTTTGAGGTTCAGGGTATACTATGATCACAGGTTTAGCGTTTCCCTAGTCCCATGACATCCCGCACATGCTGGGTTCGGTGGATGATATTACTAGACTAGTAAGAAACACATCCTCACACGAAACATGTTCTCTGTGTTTCATTGTAATTTCATGGCTGGAGTCAAATAATAAATGTATATAAATGTGTGTATCATCGTTCTATATTGGGGTTTGAAGTAACACATGGCATGCCCAAAACATACAGTTCGTTCCCGTTGCGTCCAGGTTTGTCACTGCAGTGAATCGATCCGGATGATATCACATGTCATTCAACCAAGCATCATTTGGGATCATTTGGGATAATTTGGGTATGTATGTGTTATAATTTCAAAGCCCAAATAAAAGTAGATCCTAGGTTTTTATTTTAATGCCAGCAATCCTCTTTTTGGGCTGCCCAATTGTGAGATAATAATATCAATAAAGATTGTAGGTACCCAGAAGATCCCAGAAGCATGAACAATGTTCCCCCTACACCCTCTGGCAATCAAACATGGCAGTCAAAAAATCCAGTATTTGTAGATGTTTTTCATTGTTTTTCAGTTTTTCCATTCAACCCTCCACGTATATAGTGCGGGGATTTCCCAGCTAGCCACGTTGACAGCGCATGGAAAAATCCCATGGCTGAGCTCAGGAAATTGCTGAATTTGATGGACTCAAGCAGGTGGGTGCTTTGAAGAATCCAAGGATTCTAAGGGCAAATGGGGGCCCCATTACCCCATTTGGATTAATTGTTATTTTCTCCAAATCTGGCATGATGGGTATTGACCCATCCTGGGATTTTTATCGCTGATTCATCACCATAAACCATATCATGTGGTCCTTTTTGGATTATTTCATGGAAAATACACGGAAACAATGGATAACTGATGTGGGGTGTACCCCCATGACTTTGGAAAGCCCCAAATGTTTGCACAAAAAACACTGGGTAAAGGATAATTTGTTCAATTTGTCCAATCCTAGTTGGAATGACGATCCCAACTGACGATGTTTTTTTCCCTTTTGCGGGGGCGAAAAGCACCAGATAGCCACCAATGGTGCATTTGATAACCAAGAAAAAAGTGGGACTAATCTTCAGAGTGGCTAGTAACCAACAAGAATCAGCAAACATGGGGTTTGGGCCCATACTTGGGATCTTCCACAATAGGGGATCCCAATTGATCATCCAAATTCTTGGTCGGTTTGCCCATGAAAACCATGGTGAGAAGACCAAAGAAACCCATGTGTTATCATCAAGCTGCAGGTTTTAAGCAACACCACGGATGATTTGTTTGATGGTTATATTGATGGTTATATTATATTATATGTATATATATATACATACATACGTATATATAATGTATAGTGCGGTATGCGTTAGTGTTTAGTGTCGCACATTAGGCCTGAGAATCGGCATTGTCCCTTGAAAGATATGAATAACACTTATTCGCTCAACATGGGTGATGTCTTTCTTTGCCATGTTGATGGAAACAAAAACACTAAACAACTGAATGTCATGTCTAGTTTTTGTGCGGGCAGTCCCTAAGGTTCGCCATGTCCACGCCATCATTTCTTCCTTCAACGAACTGAATGGTTACAAAGTGAGCGTATCCTCCAAGATCCTCCAAAGTATTAAATACCTAAACAGAAACTGGAGATTTACACTCCAGAAAACAAACACAATACATCTGTGAGGAAATATCGCAAACCCCTATCGATGGTGTCGATCGTTTCCCGAATCTACGTAGCTTTGCCCGTTCGCGTTAGTTCACTGGAATGATCAACGAGAAAAAGCCCCCACCGGTTTCGGTTCTGGTTGTGGAAAAATGATGAGCCAAACATATCCCAAAAATGATGTATGGACTACCAATAGATTGTAGACATGGCTCCTTATAATTATCCTGATTTGTTTGGGTCAGTTTTTGGACATGGGGATGGAGCTCAGAACTGCATATCATTGTGATTCAGCTAAATCAGAGTCTGCGTTGTATCTTAAGGCACACCAGCTGCTGGTTGAAGGCGTGGTTTTATGTGTTTGAATCTACAGGAAGTCGTTCTATTTGGAGGTAAGAGCCATGGGCGACTGTCCATTTTCCCTTACATAATGGATTGAATATTGGCGATCTGACAAGCAAGAATGAGGCAGGAACCAAATTGACCATAATGGTGACACACTAAATATAGCCATGCTAGAAGAAAGGTTATGGTGTGATTTGGAAAACATGTTGGTTACACACATTGGACATACCCAGGATAAGATTGTCGAGGCATCCGTTGTTCCTATGTTGATCATTAAAGATCAGGTGTCGCATGATTGATGCCCATCATACTCCATAGTATATAATCTAGGATGAAGAACAAGTGGGTGCTCATGGCTTGTATATAGACATATGAGTAGGGAAAATTTTCACCTTGTTTTGCAAGTTCTGAAGCAAACCACTCTTCGACACCATTAGTAAAACTCACAAAAAACCCTATCAACTGATGTTGAAACTTCTTGAACCAAACAAAAGTTTGTTGACTAAGAACTCAAACAACTATTTGTATAACTTCAGTTATGTCAGTTCCCTATGGTTCCCTATGGTTTTGCCTAAGAAAAAATCTCCGCCGTTGATGACCTCGCAGGTGTCGCCCTCGCTCCGTTGAAGGCACGGCGCTCCGTCGCGTAGGGCGATCCGGGCGATCCGGGCGATCCGGGCGATCCGGGCGATCCGTCGCTAATAATGGGGTGATTTCATGGTGGTTTAATGGTGGTTTAATGGTGACTTATCTGGAAAATCCACCCTGTAAATGGAGGTTTATAGTTTATAGTTTGGAAATTGAACTACCCTCTGGTAAACTAACAGTTTGCTATTGAACATGGCCATTTATAGTGGAATTATCCATGAAAAATGGTGATTTTCCAAAATTTTTTTGTATGTTTACCAGAGGGTAATGGTGGTTGAATGGTGACTTATCTGGAAACGTTAGCTAAGTTGATGGGCACAGGACTAGGCAAACTGTTGGGTTTACGGTGTATATATATATATCGAAGTAGATAATGCGGTAAGATAAACCCCCAAAGTCCAAAAAATAAAACTGGTGGCACCACATTGTCGTCTAAAAAAAACAACTTCAATCAGTGAACATGAATGGCAAACAAATGTCACAATGATAGTTACTCGGATACCGTGAACACGAATTTCTATGGCCAATACAATTTTCACCATCAATATAGTTTCATTAGTATTAGTTTCTAGATGAATAGAATCTACCATTGGGAGTATACAATAATCACCAAGTTTCACAATAATCAATCTAGTTTCAAGATGAATTCTACCACAACATCATTGATTTCACCATTTTTTTTAAAGGATTCGGAGGTTTCCGCCACACAAAAATAGCCATCACTGACTGTCACAGAATCGACACTGTGACAGATTTGCCCCGGTTGCTATTGGTTGCTTGGATAGCGATCTCATCTACCTTGACATTTATGAATGAGTAACGGTTGAGATAGCATGGTTTTAGTAATATGAGTCATATATATGAGTAATATATGATAATACACATATTCATGAATAATGAATGACCAGTGCGATAATACGGGGATATGACCAATACCCATAGGATCCATGGTGCTGCTATATATGGTAACATGGATCCCATCAATATACCCCAGTCATGTTAGCATTAATATACCAGCACCATGGATCCGTCATGGGATATAGAATATGCTTTGAAGCTCGGGGGAAGACGTTGGTCATCTTCATCTTGGACTTCCCGAAAAGTGTCATCGATAAAAAACCGATTTGAGGCATGACGAGACAGCTAGATATCACCATGTTACCTCAAATCAGAAAACATGATAATAGTTCTGGGTAAATTATAACGACCTCACTGCGACCTCCCTGGAAATCATAGTTAATAAGGGAAATCATCCCCAAATGGCCTTAATTCAGGTTAGTGAAATATTATAATTTACCCAGATAAATGGTTAATAATAGTTATTTGTTTTTTAGCATGTGTTACAGAAACATACAGAAACATCACGCGAAATCTTCGCTTTTCCCCTGAGTTTCCAGAGCTTTTCTCGACATGTCAAGTGGGCTTTTCCAATCTTTGGTGGGTTTTTCCAAGCCCTGGACCCGCCGATTGAATCCCAGGTGATGGTCATTGGGATATTGGGATTTATGCCTTGTTAGAATCATCCGATGTTCAACTAATGCTGTTGATCGACAAGAACACATGCTACTCTAGATGTTGGTTAAGTCAAAGGTGGCTCATAGTTTGCCAACATATTTTGTAGCCATATTTGTAGGATAGGTATGGATAGGTGATAAATCGTCAATTCCATACACTTAGAACAAATGGTTTCAACACGCTTTAACTTTCATATTTTGTATTATCTAGATATGCCTTGGTGATTAATGTTTAACCATTGTAGATATTATTTGCTAGATTGTTTGCATAGCGAGGTAATATGTCTAGCATGTGTGTTTGTTGTTTTTATCCAAGCATCTAGGTAATCTAGGTCATATTTGGCTAGATATATGATGATTAAACAAAAGAATATATAGCCTAGCTATATACCTAATATATGACATGCCATTCAACTGCCATATGGATGAAATCAATGGATATTGGGGATGATCATCCACTAGGAGGGATACTCCATATGTTTTGACCATGGCACACCTCGTCGTTGATTATATGGGTTGATTATATGGGTTTATAACGGTAAATATGGTACCATATGGATGGTTTATCATGGTTTATCATGGTTTATCTGAACATATGGTACCATATGGATCTCCGTACCGTACCATATGGTTACGTAGCCCTAATATCCTCTAATTTTGATGGAACAGATGCAATTGAAGATCAAGTGAATCACCAGAATCCTCCATTTTCAGGTCCCAGCCATATTCAAATACACTCAAGCGTAAACGTTTACTGAAAATCCACCATGACTGTAGATTACTTTCCAAGATTCCACATAGATTACGCCACGGTTGGTTGTTTTCCACATCTACTAATGAGTTTTCCACATCGCCAATGGAAAATCCATCGTTGATAATAGTTCTGGGTAAATCATAACGACCTCACTGCGACCTCACTGGAAATCATAGTTAATAAGGGAAATCATCCCCAAATGGCCTTAATTCAGGTTAGTGAAATATTATAATTTACCCAGATAGTTCAATTTTCAAGCTATAAACTTCCATTTACAGGGTGGATTTTCCAGCTTGCCATGTTTGATTACCAGGTACGGTATATCCATGTATATCCCATGATATTCCATTGATTTCCTATAAAAAATCCCTATGATTTCCCTATGATATTCCAATGATCTCCCGATTTTGTCTCCATATTGGAATATGATTATTAGCTAATTAAATATGATATATATCATTATATATATCATTATATATATATATATCATTATATATATATATATCATATTATATCATTATATATCCCATATTTCCCTATTATATAATGGTATCCCATTGTACACCACCATTCTTTCTCCTCGGCCGAATGTCCAGGTTCCCACGGGGCCGGGAGTCCGGTGGCTCCAAAGCCCGCGACCGCAGAGACTGCGGAGGCGTGCAACGCGCCCGCGCCCGAGATGGGGCAGGCCCGTGCATCAAGGGCAGATGGTGGTGATCCAAGCGGGTTCCCTTGAGGTAAACATCAAAAAGATGTGGAAAACTGGAAAACCTCAAGTTTCTGGTTCGGAAAATGATCTACAGTTGGGATTTTCCATGATATTTCCACATCTAAACGTTTACAGGAGGGTATCAGGCGGATTTTGATAGGCCTGGTTGGAAAATGATGGTTGAACACCTATTGAACATCATAGAATAGCATTGATATCATAGTGATATTTTTATAGGCCAACCCCCACAAGAATTAGATCACCCCATCGAAAGATGATTTTTTTCGTGGTTGTTCATGGTTAGTAACGCTTAAGAACTTAAGAACCCACACCATCCTTGAGGGGTGAGTCACCTTGAGAAATTGATCTCGTCACCTTGAGGGGTGGTTGTAACAACTTTGGTTTGTTATTTTGTGTGCTCTAAAAAACAACCAGTTTCTGGAAAGTAATGAGATACTCTATGAGATATTTAACCAAGCCTAAGATATAGGTTGGTTCAAAAGCCAACCTAAGTATAGATATATCCACCATGCACCCAATCCTTAGCCAGGTGAATAAGCAACGTAACGTATGGCGTCCCCACATTGTATAGGATTTAACCAGCAAAACTATGGGTCCGGAATATATATATATACTTATACATATGATAAATGAGTTTGTTATTCCGTTCTTCCCATTCATTTTAGGGTTTGACCCCCTGGTGTAATTGGTTTTCTTCCAGGTAAATAATAACCCATATTGGTTGTTTCACAGCTAAACCGAAACCCAGCATTGGTTGGTGGTTCTGGGGCTACTTGTCCATTTTAGTCACAAATATGAATCACCATCATCAACCATCATTAACCAGTGTAATCCCTCTATAATCCCAACAAAACCATTGCCATGTTTGAGTACCGGGGTACAGGAAAGCCCGTTGACCGCTTCAGACGGGCTCCAATGGAAATTGGGGTTTCCTAAAATAGGGGGACCCCTAAATGATCCATGTTCATGATGATCATGGGATTTTTTATTATAAACCATCCAGCTATTGGGGTACCCCCATTGATGGAAACTGGTGTATAAATGACCCAGGATCATAATCACTGCTTCTAAATGAAGATTCGAATATGGACATGTGCACTCAGGATTTACACCAGAAGACACTCAGACTTGTGTGGCTCCAATTCAGTTCATGTTCCCATTTTGAGAGAAGAAAACAGCATGATACGAATGCGAATGGGGTGTTTTTGGAATGTTCGATCTTCGGAATATCCAGCCATGACCATTCTCGTGGGGAAAAATGATGATTTTTCGCCATGGGATTTTGAGGTCTCGTCCTCATGGACCCATGGCGAAATCCCATTTTTTTGGAGAACTTCACCATGGCTTGTGGTTTGGTTTAAGGGAACATATTCCAGAAGCCCCGGTTAATCAAAAATGGGAAAAACCATGGTTTGAATCGGCATTCAGAAAAATCCACATATTAATCCACAGAGATATATGAATGGGAAAACCCAATTATCTACATTTGACCACATATAATATAATCAAATATATAATATACTGTACTGGAATATATGATAATAGACATATTCACACGGAGCAGCAAAGATCGCAGGTCTTGTTCGATGCGAATCTCGCAGAGTTGCCAGAGAAGGCGGATGTGATGGGTAAACCAAGGCTTTTGGTTGGAATCTAAGCCACGAAAATGTGGATTTATATAATGGGATTGAAATGGGATCTAGATAGATTTAATGGGACTTCAATGGAATTTGGATAGATTTGTTCGGATTTGAATGGGAAAAAATGATTTAACATGATTTAACGATATTTTTGTGTATGTGAGTATATATATATATATGTATATATTGATTTACTTATCAAATCACATATGTTGTAGGGAATTAATGTGTTATATAAATGATTCACCACACATGTGCCATGCTCAAAACATAGCTTTGTATTGAAGTCGATAATGGAAGGATTCCCCAGTTCCATGATGCTGGGATTGTTGATAGTTGAAAGACTCCAAGCTTAAAGGACCACTGTTTGGTTGGTCTTTACATGTGGGTTTGACTGAACATATGGTATCATGTATATATGTATGTATATACCCTTTGGTAAACTAACATAACTATGGAAAATCACAATTTTTTATGGGTAAATCAACTATAAATGGGCCATGTTCAATAGCTATGTTAGTTTACCGGAGGGTATCATGCATATATATATATATATATGGTCCCGTCCTCCGTCTCTCCACCCCCCCCCCCCATGGGTTGGGTCCCCAGGTAGTAGCCCCAATTCCCTTCTATTTGCAAGCTATTGGCAGCATTTCTGAGGTCCAGCGTCGTATTTGCTAGGTCTTTGCAGCATTTCTGACTACCAGCCTCGCATTTACTAGGTACATGCTACCTTTTAGGCGACCTACGTAGCACACATACTCCTTCAAAGTACCTACGTGCTACCTATAGTCATACATACATGTGCTATGTATCTACTGTATCTACTTCCTGTTTACTACCTGTGTACTCTGACAACACTACCTCTGTTGAACATATACCGTACCTACCATACATGTCAATGATGCCATGCATACCATACCTATCATATCTATCATACATACCATACATACCATACATATGAAATGTAATTACCACACCTACCATACATACAATAGCATACATACAATAGCAAGCATACATGCCATACATACCATACCTACCTTAGATAGGACATATTCCATACCCATCATAGTAACCATACATACCATACAGACCATACATACTGTCATATCAAACATACCATATCCAACAGACTTACATACCATACCTACCATCCATACAATACCAACCACTCATGCCATACATACCATACCTACCATACATACCAAACATACCATACTTTCCAAACATGCCATACCAGACCGACCATACACACCATACATACCCACCATACCATACCACACCCCCACCACACCACAGGGGGGGGAGGGGGACAGTGCCACACCCCCACCACACCACAGGGGGGGGAGGGGGAAGATCTCATATGGGACCAGTATATGGGACCCATCCACCACACCACAGGGGGGGGAGGGGGACAGTGCCACACCCCCACCACACCACAGGGGGGGGAGGGGGAAGATCTCATATGGGACCAGTATATGGGACCCATCCACCACACCACAGGGGGGGGAGGGGGACAGTGCCACACCCCCACCACACCACAGGGGGGGAGGGGGGAAGATCTCATATGGGACCAGTATATGGGACCCATCCCATATGGGGGGGGGAGGGGGGGGGGGGCAGGGCCCTGGTGCATATATATATATATATATACACATAATAAATTGGGTAATCATCATGTTCCCTATTGAACTTGGTGTCTTTGAGGTGCCGCATTTTCAAACAGAGCCTATGTTTTTATGTTCCATCCAACACATGGGATGTTTGTCACCAATTGGACCACTGATAAGACACCGAACTGTTTCTTGGCTATGAAATCATTTGCTTACCCACTTCAGAAGCCATTCTAGGAATAACAATTGACCAAGTACAACTGTATTCTAGGAATAACCATTTCAGAAGTTACCCAACATTAGAATGAAGGGTAATAAATTGGCCATTTCCTATTGAATATTGATTAGTAATGGTTAAATAATCATGAATCATGAAATGGGGGTGTCATGGCACAACTGGATTTAACCAACATGGAAATAACAACGCTCCGACGGAGGCTACCCATGGATAGGATTCGGATAGATTCAATGTTTATTTCTTGGCTAATCGAGGCGTGGTTGAATCCAATATGGAAACAATATAATATAACATAACTGGTTGGTGGTTTGGAACATTTTGCATTTTTCAATATATTGGAAATTTAATCATCCCAACTGACTTTCATATTTTTCAGAGGGGTAAGTCTACCACCAACCAGATAATCTAACTCTGGTAGATTCAATTCCTAAGAAGGGTCATATAACGTGACCAAACTCTCACTCTACTTTTTTTTCCTTGGTGGACATGACATGTTTTTCTCTTTGCCGTCCATTCCTATTGGGGAACTCAAATCCATGACATCAGATATTTCTGGAAGTTGGTTGAAACGACAATTTGCAGGACAATCCGGGCAAAGCCAAGATCTTTTGTATGGTAAAAGAAAATGATGTTTCCTATAGATTTTCCGTGAACAGGATCCATTGAATCTGGGTAAATTATAGCGACCTCACTGTTCTCCCTCACTATAATCATAGTTAGTCAGGGGAAATATCCCCAAATGACCTTATTTCAGGTTAGTGAATTATTTTAATTTACCCATATATATATCATTATATATCCCATATTTCCATAAGAATATTTGGATGATTTGGATGCCAGTCCAGTTGAGTCGGGTACACGACGCGCCAGATGGATAGTGGAAGCCTGGTCACACCACAGGAGCGTGGCAAAGCGCAAAGTGGATGGAGCGTGGCACAGTGTTGATAGGGAATAGTTTTTTTTACATTGGTGGGATTATAGATTATAGATAGTGGACATAGAATACATACATACATACATACATATATATATACATATATATACATATACATGTATATACATATTATTTCTGACAACCTATCTTGGGAATAAAAAGCAATGGGATATCATGGGAATAATGGCATATTAAATACCCCCCAGGAAACCATGGTGGATGCAGATGTAGTGCACGAAACCATATGCTCTCTGGTAGACATACAAGAAACTATTGAACATGGCCATTTATAGCTGATTTACCCATTAATAATGGTGATTTTCCATAGTTATCTTAGTTTACCAGAGGGTATATACATAGATACATAGATACATAGATACATAGATACATAGATAGATACATAGATAGATACATAGATAGATATATAGATAGATAGATAGATAGATAGGTAAGTAGATGAAAGAGATAGAGAGAGAGAGAGAGAGGCCAGCTGGGTAGATGAGATAGATAGATAGATAGATAGATGGATAGAAAAGATAAGATTAGATTAGATTAGATTTAGATATAGATATAGATAGACATAGATAGATATAGATAGATATAGATAGATACAGACAGATAGAGATAGATGTAGATAGATATAGATAAATATAGATAGATATAGATAGATATAGATAGATATGGATAGATATGGATAGATATAGATAGATATAGATAGATATAGATAGATATAGATAGATATAGATAGATATGGATAGATATGGATAGATATAGATAGATATAGATAGATATAGATACTGTAGATATAGATAGATATAGATAGATATAGATAGATAGATAGATAGATAGATAAATAGATAGATAGATAGATGGATAGATGTATAGATGGATAGATGGATAGACGAATAAATGGATAGATGGATAGATAGATATATAGATATACAGATAGATTGATAGATTGATAGATACAGACAGACAGACAGACATACAGACAGACATCTATTTAATAATAAATATTTGCATTTGTATTTCTTTGGGACCATATAGAGGGTGTTTGGATATTAAGAGGATGGGATCTTCCTGATATGTACACGGCTCTGACGTTGGAGTTCAGAGATCAAAGACACAGACACAAGGGGGATTTGTTCAGAAATCATGTTGCCACTGATAAGGTTTCAGAATACTCATGAAATCCTATGGTCCTTGATATTCCATTAAATTCATGTATCCCACTATCCCATTGCACTCCCAAATTTTGGTTGGTGAAGTCCCGAATATTATCAGCTGTATAGTGCTACCATCTGGTAATTTAACATAGACACAGCCATGGAAAATACAGCCATGCAGATTACCCGTTTGTAGATTTTTTGATTTACCCGATGAACATTGCCATCTTGCATGGCTATGTCTATGTTCCATTACCGGAGGGAACATTCATGTACATTCCATTACAGTAATTTCCCCATTCCCATTAAACGGAAACCATTCCCATCATAGTGGTAAATCCCACGAAAAAAAACAACAAATTAAGGACATAACCATTTGCTGAGCCCCGTATCATCAACAAATGGGTCATTTCTAGCCCTAGTTGCATGAATTGTTGTATATATATATATAGTTATTTTCCCATTATATCCCCATTATATTAGTGGTCTCCTTAATATATCCCTATGAGTGGTATAGGTAGATCATCAACAATAAAGCATATGGATAGATCTAAATCCAGCATATCCCATTATTTTAATGTTTCCCAGGTTTTATATAGTTGTTGCACGTCATCATCAGAATATCATCGACAATATACCATATGTTTCTCCATTATATTGATTGATTCCCCATTGTGTGTTTCCCGTTTTTTGATTATATCCCCTTATATATCCCATATTATCCCCATATAGCCATATCCTCCATTAGAAACCCTCATACAATCCCATTGACTTTGGTTATGACCACAATTAATCTCATTTACTCCCTTCCCGCTAATATTAAACACTATTATGTTTCCATATTCCATTATAATTATGTTTCATTAGATTCCGTATGATTTATTATCATTATAGCCCATTGTGTATATCCCGCAGCATTTCCATATTCCATGATATATTTCCATTGTTGAATTATTTGAACAACTTTAAATAATTATATATACATATATATACATATATATATATGTACATATTATGATATTTCCATAATACAGCCCACATTATCTATGCAAAGGGCAAGCTGGTCTTGGTTCCCAGCACTTGGAAAATTGAAAGGAAGGCCTGTCCTGGTTCTGTGGCCTTGGGGTCCATCCGAGACATCGGATTGCACTGATGGCTCGTGGAAGTTCGCAAGTTGATCGCAGAAGACCAGGAGAACAACAGCGTGAAGATTCCTCTGATGTACAACATCACTGCCGCAGTGATGCATCACTGAGCTCAAGTTGTTTGTTCCCAAGTCTCAGAAGGAGGAGCCTGAAGCTCTGGTGCTAGTCCCTCAGCCAAAGCGCCAGAGGACCAAGGGTCCAGCCCCGTGAGCTCATGTCAAGGCAACATGGCAGATTTTTGAACATGACACGCTACGAATGGCATCAACTAAAATAGCAAGGCTTAGGTCGATCGATGAAAAACAGTTGGGACCTCATGCATTAACCACATTTTACCGCATGATACCTCACATTCTTTCCAGAAATAAGTCAAAAACTAGTTTTATGTACCATATGAACTATAACTCATCCACTAGATGGAGATAGTGGAACTAACCCCTTCCCCCTAATATCAAACACACCCTAAACGAAACCATGGTTTAGTAGGGAATTTCCACATTCCATTGGGAGAATTGGGGTGTTTTATATTAGATAATTGATCTTAAACATCCAATAAACATCCAATAAACATCAGATTTTTGGGATTAACCAACGAGATGGAGGAATAACCATCCACCATTGGATCATGATTCGCTCCAGGACGAGGCTGCCGTCTTGGCTGCCCTGCCGACGCCTCCAATGAGGTGCCCCGGCATGCCGCGGCCGTGACGCGCCGATTGAACGATGGGAAGTACGAATGGGGTTGGAGTTGATTTCTAGATGATTCTTGATAATTCTAGATGATGTTCATTGATGTTTCATCGATTTTTCGTGGATGTTCATGGATGTTTCCTGGATCTTCATGGATTTTTCTAGACCTCTGGCAGTAAATGTAGACATAGGTGTCAGTTCCATGATGATTTTTCACGAACATTTGCGGGGTGTGATAGATGTTATATAGCATTTCTTTGGATGGGGTGGGTTGCCTTACACCATGGACAGACGTAACACAGCACAGCTCCATGAATCCAGCGTAGAGTGTGGTGCTGGACAGCCAATTCATCATCCAATTGTCAGGGTTTTACCATGTTTTGACGTAAAAAAAACAAACAAACAAAAACACAAAAATATCCTGGGAGTAACTTATGGTAATCCCAGCATCGGATCCAAAAACTCCAGGTGATTTAGTTGTCCTTGCAGGTCAGGATGGAATGTTTGGATAGTTGCCCATGTATTGTTGGTATCTGTTACGTATATAATTATTATATATATATATATATGTATAACTATAATATCTACAGCCATATGCCATATGTGGCCATGGTCAAGTTAGTTGGATTATGACTATCCAGTTTTTTTTTTGGAAGGTCATCAATGTCATAGGGATTTAGATTACATGCCCATGATGTGTGGAATTTCATTTATGTGACTAGATTGGCCCCAGCCAACAGATCCGCATTCCCAGGTTAAAAAAAAGGGACGCAACACTACCCGGAAATCAATCCTGGTCATGAATTGGACATACTCACGGAAAATGATGGCAAATATCAGCAATGGGTTTTCCGTTGTTTTTTTTATATATTGTTCATTTTAGGTTGGCGATAAACCACTATAGGGTAGTTAATCCACATGAATCCACAACCAATTCCAATCAGCCCCAATTGGGATTAATTGTGGCCTCAGCATGCTGGAGGCTAAGGTGACAGGAGGGTTTCTCATTGTTAGGTGAAATTGCACAAGGCTAATGTATAACTGTTCTCACAAATACATACAAATACATGATGTATCATTTGTTGATTCACAATTAAAAGCTGATGAGTAATCCCCCCAAAAAAAAGTAGAACAGAATTCCACTTTTTTGGAGAATCGGACGTTATCCTTTTCTGCCTCTTTCTTTGGGTGTATTACGTTGTTCTCGACATCAGCCGCTGGTGGAATGTCCGCGAGGAAGATCGGTAGCAATATCTCCAAGGGCCTGTTGGTGCAATATCAGGGCGAGGCGCCTTCGGACCCTTTCTGGCCGTGTCTGAAGAGTTTTTGGGGATTAGAAACCCCACAATTTGTCATGTTTTTTTTTGGGAGGGAAACATGGTTATGTATATCATGGGGATATGATGGGATATATCTATATATATATAGCCAACTCATAGCAGCTTGATATGATATGTGGGCGTGATAATGGGGTAGCCACTCAAATGGTTCTATTTGGGGAAATCAACCAGCCGATGGCATGGGATACCCGTGGATACCCCATTTGGATTGGTTGCCTGGCCCCAAATATAGCAACATGATGAGACCCCCAAATTATAAGTTGGTTGTAGAAACCGACTGTCGTTTTTTTTCGCCCTTAAAAACCCAGGCGATTCGTCAAGTGATGTGGGCCACCTTTTTTCACCCAAACTCCATCGCAATCCCCACATTTGTGTTTCACGTCTCCGTTTTTTGCATAGTTTATAGACTGAGCCATTTGTGATACCCTCTGGTAATGACTTATAGCTATTGAAAATGACCATTTATGGTGGATTTTCCCATTAAACATGGTGATTTTCCATAGTTATGTAAACGTTTACCAGAGGGTAATCTTCATTTGGTCCCAAATCCTTGTGCTCGTCTGTTCCCCAATATGTGAGATTGTCCAAAACCTTGGCTATATGGGCATTTGTTGAGGGAAAATGATGATACACAGTGAAATCTGTGGGACCCGATTTTCGAACCCAAATCCTAAGTTCCAAGATGTAGCCCTGAGATGGTTGTGACTATCCCAATTGTATCCTATTATGATTCGAGATCTGAGCTTGGTGAAGCTACCCTTGAAATTCCATGATTTGACTATCCGAAAATGTATCCCTGAGAATACCTAAGATGGTTGTTGGTATATTGCTATATCCCATGAAAACTCCAATTGAGTATAGCGCACAAGGTGTTGCCCCAAATTGTGGTGTCTTACACCACCCATGAACTGTAGATATCAATCGCGCAAACCCTTGTTATTGGACTTATTAACTTGGCTATTCTATGGCATAATCCCAGTTGAAATTCTATGAAGTTATACACTTAGACTATAGGTGTATATACTCGCCATGAACCATCGTTATATCAGTAGTAATATATATATAGTATATAGTTCTTATCCCATTCTATCACCATTATATTGATGGTTTTCCCCATTGTTGCTCGCAATAATTTGTTAGTTAATGTTTGTTCATGAAAATCCCATCATTCTCATCTAAAATAACCAGTCGTTGCCGAAATTTCATCATCATTTTCAAACAGCGCCTACAACTGTAGATTACCATAGGGCTTACCATAGTTATCCATTTTGAAATCCCATTGCAGCCCCTTAGTTTCCATGAATATGTGATAAACCAACCATAGAAGTTGGATTATAAACCCTATTCCTTCATATTACCTATAGGTATAGTTCCCATAACTTTGATAACCCTAGTTATCCATCAACTAACATGCTAACTATGGTTGAATTCAACCCTTGTTAATAAGCGAGCGCGCAGGAGACCCCTGGCTCGGGCACAGCGAGGTGGGACCTCGCGTTTTTTGATGCGAGGGACGGGTTTGCGTTGTGGGAAAGCTATTGATGGCTGGGACTTTTAGTGAACATATTGGGATCATATGAGCTATGATGATCCAAGATGACCTTTAAGTAGCCTTTGAACTACAGTGAACTGCATGAACTGTTATGACCTTTGAACTATCCGGAAAGGTATAACTTTGATTGATGACCCTTTGAACTATAGGGAACCTGCATGAACCATTATAACCTTAGTATTAGAATAAGAGGGAAATGCATGAACCATTTCGACCTTGGAACTAAAGGGAACCTGCATGAACCATTGTGACCTTAGAACTAGAGGGACATGCATGAACAATTATGACCTGAGAACTAAATGGAAATGCATGAACCATTATCATCCCCGAACTGAAAAAGTATGTACCAATATGACCCGAGAACTATAGGGATATATCAAATACATGACCCTAGAACTATATATAGAGGAAAAGGTATGAACTGTTATGACCTTCGAACTAGAGGGAAATGTATGAACTATTGGTACACTATTGGTCTATCCAGTGAAAATGGGAGGGGTTTGGAGCTCGGGTGTCTCCCCAAATTTTGGTCTCAGAGGTGTCCCTGGGCTATGTGTCAGAACACTATTCCACAATTTTAAAGATGACAGATTGATGAACATGTTTGATAAAAAAAAATCACTACTTTTACTTCGATCTCGAGAAATATATAGCGGATACATGATACGCGCAGTACATCAGTACTATATGATCTACACGTCTACACACAGTGTTGCCCCAGTTGGGAATCGCTAAGTTGGTAAACGTTTAACTCCAATTTCACGGTCGGGTTTATGGATGTTTATGGTGTAAGTGGTAGATATATCTGAGATATCATGATATCTCTATACTATACTTAATGGAGGTTTCATTGGATTGGTTTAAGGGAAAATCTGCAAGAAACCCATGTTTTTTAAAGTTTTTACCAATAAGATCATGGGGATTTCCTGTTAAAATGTTCGCTTAAACCAATCCATTGAACTATATTATTATAACATAGTCCCATAATCCCACTATATTTTCTGATTATAACTATATTATAACTATATTATATCTGTATACTATACTTATTGGGAGTTATTTCCACCAACTAACCATCACTGCTTGGCTCACCTTTGGCTTGGCTCACTCCGTGGGAGCACCATGCCGAGGTGCTGCATCTGCCTGGAAAGCTTCGCCAGTTCCCAGCTCTGGCACTGCGGACGCGAGGTCTGTGGCGACAAGGCGATGGCGGATCGCGGGTTAATATTTGGTTAATCTATAGTGAATTATGAGTAATGATGGTTAATGATGGTTAATAGTGGTTAATAGTGGTTAATGATTGTGAGTAATGGTTAGTAATGGTGATTCATGGAATGATGGAATTACCCTCTGGTTATGACTAACAGTTCGCCATGGTATAGATGGCCCATAGAAATAGATGGTTGACCGTTCTTAAAAATGGGTGGATTTTCCATAGTTGTGTTAGTTTACCAGAGGGTATCTAACTGTGATATTAGTAGGAATAGGATGATGTATTATAGATGATTAATATGTGAGTATATGTGACAACGATGGTCATTAAAAAAAAAAAAACATACTAGTATCAATGAGTTATATTGGTGTATTAGATATGATATATCTATCACCAATCACCTAAATACCGAAATAATACTAAGATCTAGTATCTATGATACTAAGAGGATGCCGTTTTGGGATGATATGATAATATCAGCAATAGAATTTCATGGGATTTAATGGTGTTTCATGAGAGTATATAAGGATGGTGTTTGTTAATGGTTTCGTGGCTATAGTGATCCTGGAGTAGATATAGAATATGTTTCAAAAAAAAGGGAATATCTGAAAAAAAAACAAAGTCTATCTACTTCAGGATATCTAACTATGATACTTCGATAAGTATATATTTATGTATATATTTACCAAAATTGACACTACTTATAATATACTGTCGAGTTGGATGTTTATAGATGGTAATAGGATGATGTATTTGGATGTTTTTATTATTATTAAATATATATATATATATTGTAGATGATGATAGATTATTCTTTTGATTATTGGGATGATTGTTACATATTAGAAAGATACATTGACATTTATGTAATTAGGATGACTATGCTATGGTTGTCGATGATGTTCCCCGAGATATTTTAAAAGGGATATCACATCAGAAGAACTGAACAGCGTTCTACAGCCTTATTTTATGCAAATCCTTTTCTACTGGTCGATTAAGTGTGGCATTCCCTTGATGACAATCCCCAAATTCCCACTGATTATTTGACAAGATATTTAACATAGCTATGGAACATGGTTCATTTTTAGATGATGAGGATGATGATCCAACTATTCAGAATGGACATGTTCCATCGATAGGTTATACATATATATATATGGACAGTCATGATACATATATATATATATATATATATGGACAGTCATGATAGTCATGAATAGCTTTCACCACCGTGGGTAAAACTTGTTTTGGTGATGTGTGTCACAACGTGCTCCAGTGCTCGTACCTAAAGAAAGGAGGCACTTTGGTGAAATCAACAGACTCCGACCTGCACAGATGGGGAGTAACGGCAGCTAAGAAATAGCAGAAATGGTCACTGGGTTACATCCCTGTCCCCAGTTATAACTTGTTTTAAGACATTTGGTAATTTCACATTGCACTTATAATAGCTATCGAACATCTCCATATTCGATAGGCAAATCATCATAAATCATCGAAGAATATGGGCCATTTTGTACCATAGCTATCCTAAATAACAGAGTATGCGTGGGATATAAGTGGGATACAATAACTGATGTTATGAACCATATACCAAATCCAATCCCAGTTGCAACCCTTCACCGCTCTCACCCGTCCCACTGGGGCCACCTTTTTTCGCAGGCTTTTTGCTCAGACTGTCTTCGACAACATGCGGAGGTACCGCAGGGAGTTGGCAAAGCGATCGATTAAAAATCACTCTTCCACCAAGAATAGCAACTGCTGATACTTATTGATTTATTGGTTATATGGCAATAATATGGCAATAATTAAGTGTTCTAGTATGTTTTAGTACATTATAATTATTGATATAGTATGATATAGTAGGATCTTATATTAATTCAACGAATGGCTGGCTCAGTCATAGGATGCACCAGGAATCTGGGACAAACCCGATCGCCAGGGCTATATATATACCTCATTTCATCACTTGCCAACTGCAGGAGCTTGATACGGGCTATATTAGGTAAGTATATATATGACCAGGGCTATATTCACCTCATTTCATACTCAAAGGGGGGGGTCCTAAAACGGTGGTCCCCTTAGTCATCATCCATTTATAAATGGATTTTCCATGAAATAGTCAGCATCCAGCGAGCTTGGGGATCCCCAATGACTATGGAAACCTCCGGCATCTCCGTCTACAAAGGTCAGGGTCGATCCCAGCAGATGTGCTCGGCACGCGAAGTCGCATCATCTCCGACCCGACCGGCTAAGATCGTTTAGAACTTTTGTAACTATAGATAACTTATGAATATATAGGGTTTTTGGTGATGACTATAAATGGGGGATTGTAAACCGACTTTCCAACTGGGGTCCCCACTTTGTAAGGGTTCTTACATTGCCCTTGTTGATTGGAATGCCTCTCCCATCAACCATATTTTCATAACCACCTTAAATCGATCAAAACATTGGAAACCTGGAAATATGAAGTGGATATCATTGAACCCATATCCTTGAAACCCTACTATAGATGATATAATATATTTTTTGTTTTTTATGTCATATGTTTGGCTATAGTTTCCAGATTATATAGGTGATACGGGTATTTGTTGTTTCTATGATATAGTAATGGTTTCCAGATGATACTGATGATATAGTTTCTAGATATTTCTAGATGTTTTCTATTTTTTGCTATACCCTTCCCAGCTGCCAAAACTTCGCACCAGGCTGTCATCGACAGCGGCCTCTATGCAGCACCTGCAGTGCGCCGCGTGGAGTGTCACCGCAACCTCCATGACGCAGAAAACATGGTGATGTGATTCTAAGCCAAAGATATTGATTGCATCTTAATTATTACATTTTATAAATTAACATGAGATACATCTTATTTTTTTAAAAGGTGAATCAATGATGATTCAAATGTAACTCATTTTTGACCAACAACTTGAATTAAATCAGGAGATTGACCAGTTTCACCAACAAAACATGGGCTTGTTAATCAACAGAACTGTGGATTTCAATGACATTGAAAAGTGGCGTTTAGCCGACACATAGGTGATTTAACAGACATGAAACTTTTAACAGAAAGTTGGGGTTTCAAACAAACATGATTTTAAGCAACAAAAACGATGGTCCCAACCAATGTGGGAACAAAAAAGTAGTCAGTCACTCAGATCATCTCTGGCATGGCCAATGGGATCTTTTCCGGTACCAAGACCATATTTGGTTTGAGTTCCATGAAAGCGGCATAATGTTTTAATGATGGGGGTAAAGCCACTCATGGTAAATATAAAAGTGTTAGTGATGGTTGATCATGGTCAGATATGTTTAATGATGATGAATGGTTAATAGTGACTAATGCGATTAATGTTCATACATTTGGATAATTTCTAACGACCTCACTGCGACCTCACTCGAATCATGGTTAGGATTCATGGTAGCTATCCCAAAATAGCCTTGACAAATCAGGTGAGTGAATGACTAGAAATTACTCAGATATTATAATCCATATAATATCCCTCTTATATATTATTTTATCCCATTATTCTCCCATTAAATCCCCTTAAATCCCATTCAACTCATGGTTTTTGAATGTTTTTGGACCATCCACATCGAAAAAAACATCGAAATTAGGTACGATGTCCTGTATGCAACCTCCGCTTAGCGACGGTGGCATGGGCACCACTGCTTCAGGCGGCGGTTTCCACGCTATGATTTCCATGTTGGGAATGTTGGGATGGGGGATGATCATCCATCAACTGAGCCCATCACCAAGCCATGGTGGCTTTGGCCTGGGGAATATGATGAGAATTGATGTTTTAGACGAGACTGGACATGTGGGATGTTTGTCTTTGAACCAGACTGGACTGTGAAACTTCTACTTAGGTTCTCGTTTTGCATCATCGTTAGGTTGTGTATGTGCATGAGGTCCAAGCCCTTCATAGCAACATGTTCTTTCGTTGATCGCTCCCTATTTGTTTATGGTGTATAAATGTGTATTATATATATATACACAGACATACATATATGGATACATATATATATATATATTATATCTATCTCTCTCTCTCTATATATATATATCTATATATATATATCTATATCTATATATATGTATATATCTATATAATATATATATATATATATACGTTTCCATTTTTCATGTTCCATATCTCCATTCTCTGTTTTTGATGGTTCTATAATTAGTTTTTGAGTTTGATGAAACTTTACATCCAAAAATGTTGGATGATTCACATCCTTTTTGATTTTCTGATGGTTCTTCAATGCATTGGGCTGATGGTGTTTTGATTTTCTGATTTTTTGATTTTCTGATTTTATTCATATCTTGATTTTTTGGGCTCAATGCTAATTGTCCATTGTGGGAAAAATACAAGAAACCACCATTGCCATGATTTGTTGTTTGGGCTCAATGCATTGTGGAACTGGCCGGCGAGTCTCAATCGGCTCTTCCACAGGACGAAACCTTTGCCAAGTATCACGAGAATGCGCGAGCTCGGGCCGACTCAGTTAGCTGATGATTCTTGGGAGAATGCGTTATACTATGCACATATGTTGGCTAATGGTTATAATAATTATAAAATGTAGTTCTACTATCTTCAACCAGCAAATGGAAGATCATGGAAGGCAATGGAAGGACTGAAATTTTGAACACTGCTGGGGCTGGTTTTATCCATGTAATATAAGTCACAATAACTTTGGCCGAACATTTGGTTCCTTTCAAAAACTCAAAAACATGATCTTGCTTGACCTTTAACTCCCTCTTCACAGGATTTTTTACGGCGTTTGGGATGTTTTTAGGGGATGAACATCCATAAATCCCGTCAATTCTGGTGTTATGGGCAGAGGGTTTTTGACTCATAACTCATAACCATGTCCTTCAAGTGCTTGCCGCTCATTCCACTTGTTTATACATAGTACGCAAGTTATAACATGTTATAACTTCAGGTATAAATGGACATTGCCCCCCAAATCAGCCCATTTAAACCAGTATACAGTATACATCATGTCTTTTCTCCAGACCCCATGATCGTTGAATACATATATATATATACATATACATAATCCCATATAATATCCCTCTTATATCCTATTATTCTCCCATTAAACCCCCGAATTGTCCCAGTAAATCCCATTAATTCCCATTAAACTTCCTAACATCCATACTATATGGGACATAAGCAAGTCAGTGATTAGAGCTTCCATACATTCCACACTATATGGATTAATTCCCATTAAACATGGGATTAATTCTATTTAAATCTTATATCCCATACTTTATCCCATCTAGGTAAATTATAACGACCTCACTGCGACCTCACTGGAAATCATGGTTAGTAAGGGGAATCATCCCCAAAATGGCCTTAATTCAGGTTAGTGAAATATTATAACTTACCCAGATCCCATGTTTATCCCATTTTTCAAGTCCCATTTTTTGGGGTTTTTTCGAGGCCTTGCTCACCTACCGCTGTGCGGCTTGCGACGAGACGGGATCCTATTTGAGGCCCGGCGATGGTCCGGGGGCCCAGTGGGATATGTCGATTTTGGTCAACTTAAATATATATATATATATAAATGTATATATATATACATAAATGTATATATATACACACGTTTCGTGAGCTAAAATAGTTTCTAATATACTTTTCTATGTGTTTGTCTTGAGTAAGCATTTGTATACATATCTAGAGACACATACAAGCGGAAAACTAGGTATACACAAGTGGATCTTAGGCTATTCGCTTCATTGCCTCTAGTTGCTTGGTAACCACCCCATGACAAGTCTTTGTTTTTCCCCACATCTTTGTGTGGGGTTCTTGTTTTTCATTCTGTATCCCGCCGCCGCCTCCGCCGCCTCCGCCTCCGCTGACTCTCTTTGTCACTGTCGACCACCATCTTTCACACACATCTCTGTCACACACAATCTGTCACACACACAACTTTGTCACACATCTTTGTCACCACCATCTTTCACACACACACACACAACTCTGTCACACACACGTCTTTGTCAACCACCATCTTTCACACCTTTGTCACACATTTTGTCACCACCATCTTTCACACACACACAACTCTGTCACACACACATCTTTGTCAACCACCATCTTTCACACCTTTGTCACACATCTTTGTCACCACCATCTTTCACACACACAACTCTGTCACACACACACATCTTTGTCAACCACCATCTTTCACACCTTTGTCACACACATCTTTGTCACCACCATCTTTCACACACACAACTCTGTCACACACACATCTTTGTCAACCACCATCTTTCACACCTTTGTCACACATCTTTGTCACCACCATCTTTCACACACACTTAACTCTGTCACACACACACACATCTTTGTCAACCACCATCTTTCACACCTTTGTCACACACCTTTGTCAACCACCATCTTTCACACACACACAACTCTGTCACACACACACATCTTTGTCAACCACCATCTTTCACACCTTTGTCACACATCTTTGTCACCACCATCTTTCACACACACAACTCTGTCACACACACACATCTTTGTCAACCACCATCTTTCACACCTTTGTCACACATCTTTGTCACCACCATCTTTCACACACACAACTCTGTCACAAACACACACACACATCTTTGTCAACCACCATTTTTCACACCTTTGTCACACATCTTTGTCACCACCATCTTTCACACACACAACTCTGTCACACACACACATCTTTGTCAACCACCATCTTTCACACCTTTGTCACACATCTTTGTCACACATCTTTGTCACACATCTTTGTCACCACCATCTTTCACACACACAACTCTGTCACACACACACACATCTTTGTCAACCACCATCTTTCACACCTTTGTCACACACATCTTTGTCACCACCATCTTTCACACACACAACTCTGTCACACACACACACATCTTTGTCAACCACCATCTTTCACACCTTTGTCACACACATCTTTGTCACCACCATCTTTCACACACACAACTCTGTCACACACACACACATCTTTGTCAACCACCATCTTTCACACCTTTGTCACACACACATTTTTGTCACCACCATCTTTCACACACACAACTCTGTCACACACACACACATCTTTGTCAACCACCATCTTTCACACCTTTGTCACACATCTTTGTCACCACCATCTTTCACACACAACTCTGTCACACACACATCTTTGTCAACCACCATCTTTCACACCTTTGTCACACACCTTTGTCACCACCATCTTTCACACACACAACTCTGTCACACACACTTCTTTGTCAACCACCATCTTTCACACCTTTGTCACGCACCTTTGTCAACCACCATCTTTCACACACAACTCTGTCACACACACACACATCTTTGTCAACCACCATCTTTCACACCTTTGTCACACATCTTTGCCACCACCATCTTTCACACCTTTGTCACACATCTTTGTCACCACCATCTTTCACACACACAACTCTGTCACACACACATTTTTGTCAACCACCATCTTTCACACCTTTGTCACACACCTTTGTCAACCACCATCTTTCACACACACAACTCTGTCACAAACACATCTTTGTCAACCACCATCTTTCACACCTTTGTCACACACCTTTGTCAACCACCATCTTTCACACACACAACTCTGTCACACACACACACATCTTTGTCCACCACCATCTTTCACACCTTTGTCACACACCTTTGTCAACCACCATCTTTCACACACACACACACAACTCTGTCACACACACACATCTTTGTCAACCATCTTTCACACCTTTGTCACACACCTTTGTCAACCACCATCTTTCCCACACACAACTCTGTCACACACACATCTTTGTCAACCACCATCTTTCACACCTTTGTCACACACCTTTGTCAACCACCATCTTTCACACACACAACTCTGTCACACACACACATCTTTGTCAACCACCATCTTTCACACCTTTGTCACACACCTTTGTCAACCACCATCTTTCACACACAACTCTGTCTTACACATCTTTGTCAACCATCTTTCACACCTTTGTCACACACCATCTTTCACACCACCATCTTTCACACACATCTTTGTCAACCACCATCTGTCACACATAACTTTGTCACACACATCTTTGTCGACCACCATCTTTCACACCTTTGTCACACACCATCTTTCACACCACCATCTTTTACACACATCTTTGTCCACCACCATTTGTCACACACAACTTTTTCACACACATCTTTGTGAACCACCATCTTTCACACACATCTCTGTCACACACATCGTTGTCAACCACCATTTTTTACACACATCTTTGTCAACCACCATCTTTCACACACATCTCTGTCACACACATCTTTGTCAACCACCATCTTTTACACACATCTTTGTCAACCACCATCTTTCACACACAACTTTGTCACAGCCACACACAACTTGTCACCCACCGTTTTGCATGGCAGGCGTGGCACTTGGTCACATCCACCTTCGTTTTGCGTGGCAGGCGTGGCACTTATGGCACTGGGCTGGCTCTGGTGTCGCACGCTCTATCTTTGTCACGCCATCTTTGTCACACAACATCTTTCACACACTCACTTTCACACACCCTCTTTCACACCCAACTTTGTCAGACACCATCTTTCACACACTACATTGCCACCCACCATCTTTGACACACCATCGTTCACACAAAACTTTGTAACACACCATCTTTCACACACCATCTTTGACACACGACTTTGTCACACACCACCTTGCACACACCATCTTTGACACACCCTCTTTCACACACCGTCTTTGTCACACACCATCTTTCAAACCATCTTTTTCACACCATCTTTGACACCCAACTTTGTCACACACCATCTTTCACACACCATGTTTCACACACCAGTTGGTCAGCCACCATCTTTCACACATCATCTTTCACACCATCTTTCACACACCACTTTGTCACACACCACCTTGCACACACCATCTTTGACACACCCTCTTTCACACACCGTCTTTGTCACACACCATCTTTCAAACCATCTTTTACACACCATCTTTGACACCCAACTTTGTCACACACCATCTTTCACACACCATGTTTCACACACCATCTTTGACACACCATCTTTCACACCACTTTGTCACACACCATCTTTCACACACCACTTTGTCTCACACCATCTTTCACCACACCATCCTTCACACACCACTTTGTCACACACCATCTTTCACCACACCATCTTTCACACACAACTTTGTCACACACCATCTTTCGCCACACCATCTTTCGCACACCACTTTGTCACACACCATCTTGCACGCACAACTTTGTCACACGCTCTCTTTCACACACATCTTTTACACACACCATCTTTCACACACAACTTTGTCACACACACACACCATCTTTCTTTGTCACACACCATCTTTCACATACAACTTTGTCATACACAACTTTGTTTTACTTCTTGATCCTCCACCACCTCCTCTGTCTGGTCCTTCCTTCCCTGTCCCCGCTACAACATGTGGTGCTCATTATTGGAAGAAGTTGCCTTGTGGGGTTTTCCGGTCCTTTAATTTTCTGAGTGAACAAGACAAGAACTTAAACCATGCTTTGAACTATGTGCTTATGGGAAACAAACAAATGTGGGTGTTTTGTTTTCCAAGACAACTATGTATTGCGCGTTGGAACAGTTTGTTTCAGGAACGTTTGTTCCAAGACGTTTTTTCCCGACGCAAAGCCGATCCACTTCCGGGCGGAAACACAGAAATATGATCCGAAGCAGCTGATCAGAGGTTTTCAAAAAACCTGTGGCGAAGTGACACTATTGTTTGATGACATCATCAAATGTTTGATGTAATATCCATATTTGAGTGATTAAATCTCATAGTTTTCTTGAAATGTATATATATATATATATATTCTTGGTGTTTCATCCAATTGTTGATTGGTTAAGTTGCAAGTTTTGCGCGCTAAAACCGCATTGTCTTTGCTAAAACCGCATTTTTTTTGTGATGAACCCCTGTTTGTGCGTTTCTTAAAGACCAATGATTAGTGCAAATTTAATTTAGTTGTTTTATCCCTATGTTCTAAATGAAATTTTCGACTGCCGTGATTGTTGTTTGCGTTTCTCAGAGTCCCCAGATTTGTCGGAAAGCCGCTGGACCGCGCTCCACCGCCCAGGTCCCCACGGGCTACCAGCGAATGTTGGAAAGTATCCCTTCACGATGTTGGGCGTCGAGGTCGGGTCGAATTTGGGGCGCGCGAGGAACATCACCTGCTGGGCACCAGATCTAAGCCGCACTCAGAAGGTTTGTTTGGTGATTAGTTCTTGAGTGGCATTTTAACAAATTTTACCATCTTCATCTATGTATGTTGTAAGTTTTAACAATCCAGAAATCAGGTTTGGTTGGGAAAAGAGGCTGTTATACAGTCGATTATACTACATACTACTTGGTTTATATAAGCTGATGGTGCCCTTGGGGATTATAACAAGACCCATTAACTGGGAACGGGTATGGGTATGGTGCAATTTTTTAACCGCAAGGGGGACTACAGCGGTCGATTTTGACCCATCCTCTTTTGGGTGCCCTACAGCGGTCGATTTTGACCCATACTCATGGATCTCCAATTTTGTTTTGCGGATCACACTGACCACACATCATTTTTTCTGATGGGTTATATAGATACTGTGATCACCTTCCAACCAGTGATGTGTGTAGTTTTACCCTCTAGCAATCAAACATGGTTCAGAATCCCTTCTTCCTATTACTAAAACTCCCCCAAATAAAAAATATAGGATTGGTTTGGCACTCCGTTTTTTTGGTTGGGCACAATTGGATTGTTAATTGTGGTAATTGAGAATCAATAGGAGAACCAGATGGTGAAACCATGGGTTCAACCCCCTATTAATAAAAGTAGATTGGCACCTGGAGGTGTTTTATTAGGGTCCCATCTCCCAAGTTTTATTATTATATATAATGCTTTCATTGGAATATTAAGGGAAAGCTTCGAAATCCAGGTTTTGGCAATTTGTTCATAAATTTTAATAAGGGATTTATTCAAATTTGAAATCGTTATTTATTTTTATAATTAAGGTTGCATGTGAATATTAGGGGAAAGCTTCGAAATCAAGTTTTTGGCAATATGTTATATAGATTTTTCATAAGGGATTAAAAACTGAAATCGTCTTTTTTTGTTTAATCATTATTAAGGTATTCATTGGACTATTAGGGATGCCCTAATACAAATACCCCCTAACAATAAACATAGATCACTGTGTTTACCAAATTTGGGGGGAGGCGTGATGATTAATGGGAAAAGAAATCCTCCTGCCAATTTCCACTACTAAATGCTATGACCTAGGTCCCGGAAAGTGAACCAAAAATTTAGTGTGAAATTTCTAGAAACCATTTAGTAGAGAATCATGATTTTTCAAAAAAAATCAAGTAAACATCTCTAGACCCATGATCAACATTTAGTAGAGAGGTAAAATGATATGTTAATCATATGATGTCAAATGTTGTTTTTTGGGTAAAACCATTTAGTAGAGATGTCAAAAAAATGTTGCAAAATCACAGGAACCATTTTGTAGAGGTTGCGAAGTAGAGTTCATAAAACGGTCACAATGAAATGAGACAAAACTGAAAAACCATTTAGTAGAGATTCCCATTCCGTTGCCCCCGATAACCGTTTGGCCAACCCACCGTGCTGCCTTGCCTTTTTTGGGGGCGATGCCAAATCCCTCGCTTGGGTGTTTCTTGCTCGTCGGGTGCTGCCTTTCGTGTTTGGGTTCTTGGGGGCGATGCCAAATCCCTCGCTTGGGTGTTTCTTGCTCGTCGGGTGCTTACTAAATGGATGGTCATGGGATCAGTCTATCTAGAACTGTTTCACACAAAGCCCTGTTGCATCCTTGTGTGCCCTATTATCCCTTACGTGCTATGGAACACCATTTTGTAGTCCCAAAATGTCCAAAATTCTATCAAGATTTCCCCTGCTTAGCCAAGTGCTGCCTCTACTAATGGATGGTCATGGGATCAGTCATATGTGTTTCATGTTGTTTTCTCTACTAAATGGACCCCGTGTATTTCTCTACTAAATGGCTTTGGGGTTTTGGTCGAGTGATGTTGGTCCCGCAACTTGTGCTCAAATGAGTACCTCTACTAAATGGAACAGGGTGTTTGGTCGAGTCATGTTGGTGTCTTAAGACACTCTGAAAATATATCCAAATTTTGCGCTTCAGCTGAACCAGGGGCCCACATTTAGTAGTGAAATTCGATCATGCATGCGCATCCATTTAGTAGAGCTTGAGGCTATGCAAGCTGTTTCTTCACTACAAAATGGTTGCACAGCCCCACCCCTTAATTGACAGGGGGTTGAAAAGAAGATAAAAGAAGTATAATATATATATATTAAAATATATTACAATGTGGTGCCCCCAACTCGTGAGCTTAGTTGGTATATAATTATTGCTAGGGTTAGTAACTAGCTTGGGTTAGTAGATATAACTAGCTTGGGTTAGTAACCAACGTACATTTGCACGCAACAGCTCGCGGCAGTTCGACTAGGGGTTGTATATAGTAACAAATCTTGTACGAAGTAAAGTGGGATTACTGTACTAGTCAGCTTAAGACATGCTCAAACCTCTCAAATTCATTCGTATGAAAGATCGGCCAATATCATATAAGAAACAGCGTCGGATGGATTGGATCGCCACAACTTCAACGAATTTGGGATCAACAAACCACCAAGACAAAGGACACAAGAAACGCTCAAAAAGCACATACATTGTCCATGACACTCCATGTTTGATAAACCAAATTGTGGAAGTTGCACACATGTATTGAAGCAATTGTTGGTACGGTGTGATTTCCAGTGATCGACCATTGTTCCTTGAAAAAGTAGATTTTGACGCGTATATGCACATATGCACAGAATCATATATGGTGGTGATCCGCCAGTTCAGTTTGTTTGTTTGTTTGTTTGTTTGTTTACAATTTACAGCCTCCATTAACTATAGGATTCTAGGATGATAGATATATCCACAAAAATCCCAAGTTATTGTAGCTATAAACCAACTTTTTGCCAACTGGGGTGCCACAGTGTCCATTTATTAATGTTTATGAGTATGTCATATCTTTGTTATATCGGCCATATGTGTTGGTCAATTTCCCCCTTCTCCATAGATCATGCCATGTTAGCCCCGTTGTCTCCCCTGCATCATGACGCCTAGAGAACGTCAGGCGCAAGAGCGATTGTGGCGCGCATGGCAGGAGTTCTTCTTGGCCGAGGCGTGGCCCAAACGGGATGATTTTTGGGCTCAGGTGGATGGCTTTTTCGGTGAGCCAAGGGGAAATAGAGAACTGGGGAATGGCTCAATTTTTTCGGCCCACAGATTGGAATGTCTAATATATGAACATGTATGAACCATCCAATTGTAGCATCTTGAATTGTCTAAGTTTGACCCCCATAGCCAATGAATCGGGATATAGTGGTGATATTTTATGGGATCTGTAGCAAGTAGGCTATAGCTATTAGGCTATTCATCGAGGGAATGGGAGATTTTTCCCCCTTTCGAAACGCTGTTTCATTTCTCTGGTGCTGTGGTTAATGTTTTTGCCCTGTGCTGCCTGAGGAGGGATAGTTGTAAACTCAAGATCCAAATCAATAGAGGTTGAATAGAGTTAATGAGTTAATGTAATTAGTATTGTAATCAGTATTGTAATGGTTATATATATATATGATTGTAGAATACGTTCTATAGCATTTTATAGAACATCCAAGTTGGATTACCCAAGGTTGACACGTATCATCGTATCTATCTTGTGAGCCATGAGGACATGATTCCCAGCAGCCCAGCCATGGTGGAGCCGGCTATCCAGCGGTCCTCCTGATGGAATTGTCCAAGTCGAACACCTCCAATGAAAGATGGTTATATGATTAAGATATCCACAAAAACTGGCTAGTCATATTATTCATATGCTTTCAGATGAAGAAAACACTTTTATTTTCACATTACTAGCCATATGACCCTCTGGTAAACGTTTACACAACGATATGGAACATCATCATTCTTTATTGGTAAATCAACTGTTTCTATGGCCATTTTCAATAGCAACTGTTAAATTACCAGAGGCTAAATCCCACAATTCCATGAAGATCCCATTGTTCAATATTTTTCAGTCCATTAAATCAACATTAAAGTCCATTAAATAGATTATCCAGATGTTGGCTGATGGTTATATTAACCATAGCTATGGATGCTATCGCAATGATGGACCCAGGGACCCAGTCCAGGTTCCGGCTGAGAACTTCCTGCAAGCCGCGCCTGGGTGAAAATGGGGAGATCGTGGAGATCCCCCGACCGGGAAAAGCGTTGACATATATATATATAGATGTGGAACGCACAAATACATAGGTAATAGGAATAGGATGATGTATAGATGATTATATATGTTAATATATTAACATATATTAACATATATAATCATCTATACATCATCCTATTCCAAAAAAAACATCTGGTTATTTAACGCCATGGAAAGCAGAAAATGGGCCATGGGTAAATCAACTATAAATGGGGCCATCTATACCATGGCTATGTTAAATTACCAGAGGGTAGACGTGGAAAGCAAAAAAGCAGGGTTTATGTTGATGAAGCACATGGATCTACATTCATTTTTTTCTAGGTGTCCTCTTGTTATATATTTTGAACGTAGCGAACTGGAAAATCACCATGTTTAATAGCTAAATCATTCTCTTTATCATCATATAAATGGGCAATTTTCCAGCTATGTCAAATAACCAGAGTATAAGTCAATGGGAATTCCAGGATCCTAAAATGGAGGTACTGTATCATATAAGGCTATATTTTGTGGGGATATTCCCTTACATAGCCCTTACATAGGCCTTATATATGATAGGTACCTCCAATTTAGGTTCCTGAAATGGCCATTGAATAAGTGGGATATAAGTGGGATAACTGATGTTAGGAAATTCAGGTATATAATTCTTGGTGTAATTCAATACTATTGGGATCTATTGTTGGTGGTAAATTATGGTTCTGTTATTGACCCTATATCCCCATGAATATCCCATGAACATCACAATTTGTTTTGGATACATCCCCATTTGTTCAGTTAATCATAGTTTAGTGAATTGCATCATTTCTTCATGTCTATATGTTTTCACCCATAGGATCCATGGTGTTTTTTTTTTTTATTTGGTGTGCCATGGATCCCATCAATGTCAACCCCAGTCATGTTTGCATATATACCATATCCATGGATCCTATGGGTGAAATATGCTAATATACCATATATATACCATATATGGGTAAAATCCCCATGTTTTGAATTCCAGCTGATCATCCCATCTTTGCGCTGGTTCACTCGACTTTCCCGAGGTCTTGGACGAGTTTTCCTGCGGCCACCGCAGGGGTGGTGCCCCACCCAGTAGCATGGGGAAGGCGCGGCGACCTGGTTGCCTTGAAGGGGCCCTCCTGAAGGATAGGGCAAGCTGGTTAAGATAACTGGGCTATCTGTTGGATTTGCGGTTCTTATATCATCATATATCTATACATACTTGGGTCAATCAACCAATTTATGTGTTTGGGGATCCTTCTTGTAGGGTTAACAAGTCATTTACTCGCCGTAAAGTGGGACCTATAATTGTGTTGTTTTCTCGGTAATTGTTGAATGTGAGCCATGATACCATGATGTATCCTCGCTTTGGGCTGTCCCCATGGTTTTGTTGGTCTAAAATGTCAAACCTGGATTCATAAACCTTCGGGCTGTTTAATTGGGGGGTAGCATGTTAGTAGCAGATTATCACTATTTTGAGGGAAACAACCCACATTAATCAACAGCGATTCATTAATCAGGAGTTGGCATGATGTTTGTTGATTTTCAGGCCTGTAGTTCGGACCAATTGGTTAATGTTAGGATCCTGATGTTTGTTGATGACAAGCTGTTTGTGTCACCCATTGCCCAAGACTCGAAACCCGTCGGCTGTAGCCCCTTTTGGGATGAGATGTAAACAGCATATTCATCCCCCGAGTTTCGTGTTTTTGTTAGTTTCTCTGGATGAACAAACCACCTAACCACACAAGGTGGCCCCCCCAAACGAAAGCCAAGTTGGTAAATATAGCAAATCTATCTGGAATCCTTGGGTTGATGGTAATTGTCACTATGATTAATGGTGGTTATGACCCACCAAACATAACTGCAGGTTCCCACCTAATAAGGGTTCTTACATTGCCAATGGATGAACATAGATATTCATAGTTATTATTATATATATATAATAGATATTCATGGATAAATAGATATTCATATTAGATAGTGATAGATATTAGTAGATACTCATAGATAGTGATAGATATGAATGATATTATCATTCTTAGTCAGTATAGATACCAAAGATCAATGGGAATTCCAGGATCCTAAAATGGAGGTACGTTAGTACCATATAAGGCCATATTTTGTGGTGATATTCCCTTACATCGGCCTGAAAAATAGGTCTTATATATGGTAGGTACCTCCAATCTAGGATCCTGAAATGGCCATTGAACTGACTAAGAATGATCATATCATTCATATCTATCACTATCTATGACACAAAATATCGCCAGAAATATGGTACTAAGTTTAACGTACCTCCATCAATTGGATCCTGGAGTTCTCCCATTGATTCTTAGTCACTATAGATACCAAAGATGTTTTAAATGCTATCTTTTGATTGCTGATCGACCTGGCAGGTCTTAGGCTCCAGTGGTCAAGCGAATTGGATTGAAGACTTGGAGCGACTTGGAACGATGCCCGGAGCCTGGGGAGAAATATCTTAAAGGATATTTTTGGGGATATATTTGGAACATATTAGTATTTTAGATATATTCTAGAGGTGAAATTTTGGTGTTAGATATTTTAGAGGAGATATTTTGGAGGATATACCATTTGGTGTTTATAGTTATAGATATGAGTAACCGACAAAATTAGCGGAAGACTAAAGTAGGACTTGTGTAAAAACCTTCACAACCGATAGGGGACCACCTGCTTACCGGTACCCTATTTTTATACATGACATACCATGAAAATACAAACCTTCACAACCGATAGGGAACCACCCACTTTGGCTATGTCCATTGCGATTAGTAAGTAATTTTGCCCTCCACCCATATGTTTATATATATATATATATAAATATTCTCTGGGTTATAGCGATATATTTTTGATGAGGAACTCTACCAACAAATAATGGACAATCCCTTATAGATGGAGGTTTAAAACTCGGAACATTGGTGTTTTTCCATTGCCACGTTTGATTTCCGGAGGGTATCATGGGGATATGCGCATAAATACCTTAGGATAAACATACAAAAAGATGTGCAAAACAAACCAATGTGGAAATTTGTAGGAAAATGATTGACATTCATGGTCGGTGTTCCCAATTTATACAACCAATAGAAAAACCAATTTGATACGACATAAATGATATGATACTATTGATATGATTTATACCAATTTATGCCAATTTTATCCCATTTATCTCCCATTGATATGATAGTTGGGTCTGTCTACAAATGGGGGATACTCTGAAAGCGGCAGTTTGAATAGGGAGGATGATGACAAACCAGGTGATTTTCCGAACAGCTGTGACTATGGTGTAATTTGGGGTTTATAAAGATACTATATAATGTGGATAAAACAATAATACACCACCCCATTTTGATGGTTTATACCAGCTATTTATGGTGATTTTGGGGATGGATTTATTATTGTTTTACAGTAACCACATTATAACATATTATGACCAAAAGTCAGGCTGTTTGATTCATGGATATATTACAAATATTTACAAATTATAGTTATGTTTTAATACCAAATCGATTCATGGATATATAGCTATGTTTATACAGCGAAGTGATGAAAAGATGCCATTTTTCCAAGTGGCGGTCTGAGCGGTCTACTTGAAAAGTCCTTCAAGGCGGGAACAAGGACGTCACGACGTCTAAAAACGTCACGACAATGTCACCATAACGACCTCACGTCGTTCTCCCGAAGCCTGGTTTATCATGGTTTATTTCAGGGAAATCATCCCCTTTTATGGCCGCAAGTTTCAGCTTAGTGAAATATAAAGTAATTTACCCAGATTAATTATACAGTCTTATTCTAGGTTGCTTGAATATGAAATGCTACAGCCAGCTGTTTTCAATCGGTTGCAACCGCGTCTAGTCCCAGTAAACATTGAGAATAATCATAAACCAGTCATATTTTGTTCATTTGATAGTTCTCAAAAAAGATTGAAAAGCACAGTCCGATTCAAAATAGTGCTGCATTACTTGGTGGCTACTATGAGAATTGGATGGTACTTGTTTGAAGAATTAACATCTCCAATTGGACTTGGATTGAACCTTCAAATAATATTTGCTCCATTTGAACTAGAATAATTAGAATTCGAATTGGATTGTACTGTTGTACTACCGTTGTACCTCTTTTTAAGCTATAGACTTCCCCCATGAAACATTGCCCCGGTTGCCTTAAGGCGTCGTCTCGCCATGCAGCTGGCCTGGATGAACCGCTTCCCACGGCAACGCATCGGGGCCCAGTTTTCGGACAACGCCTTCGGAACGCGAAAGGAACGTGGCCCATTTCTTGAGCCAAAAAACCGGAGAATCTACCAGCAAAACTGTTGGATGTTGAAATGTGTTGTTTTTTTTGTGGTATTTTACATTGTTTTTTGATGTTATGATGTTGGTATTTAAATTTGTCGTCGAGCAGAAGCGTGCGGATCTTACCTGTAAACGTAAGGGTGAGCAAGACTTTGGTTTTAACCAATCAAACTGGGGATGCAGTTTCTCAAATGGGGGTTCAACCAGCCAAGTTTAGGGTGTTTTTTGCCACCAAAAGGGACACCTCAGGACATACAAGTATTAATGTAAGCGCATATGCATCAAATGCAAAAGCTTTGCATTCAAAATGTCAGCTGGTCTATGTTACTTGCGAAACTCAATGCCACTACTTGTGCAAAACATGAGAACTATACAATATTGCCTGTGATTTTCAGTCTTAAGATTATTGTGTTCACAATTGTATACAAGTAAGAAAACCATTTGGAGTTACATTGAATATATGGTTTATGGTATTTCTCAGATACATGTAATATATATTTTGTGATTTCATTGATAGTGTTGTTTGTTTTTTGGAAACAAAATAAGGCTCTTGTACATGAAACTTTCATTCAATTCTTTATGAAATTGTCATGAATTTCTTGTGAAATTCTTATGCAGTTCTTATGCATTTCCAATGAATTTCTGATGAAATTCCTTTGAAATTCTTATGAATTTCTTATGAATTCCTTATGCAGTTCTTATGCAGTTCATTTGCAGTTTTCAAAACTTCATACATTTTCTGGTAAAACTTCATACCTTTTCGCCAAAAAGGTATGAAGTTTTAAAAACTGCATAAGAACTGCATAATAACTGCATAAGAACTGCTTAAGAACTGCATAAAGAATTCATAATAATTTCATAAGAAATTCATAAGAAAATCATTGGAAACCATGGGACATGCATAAGACCTGCAGATGGAATTCACAAGAAATGCATAAGAAAAATCATTTGAAATCCTAAGAGCTGCAAAAGAAATGGTCAAGAAATCATGAGAAAATCATGAGAAAACAATATATATTCACTAAGTAGTTTGATTGAAGATAAGGTCACAGGAACTTATTTAAGACAAGCAAACAGATAACTCCAGAATTTGAAAATGGGTTTCAATATAGTCTGCATTAAGTTCAAAAAAATATTCAAAAAGAAATCCTCTGGAGAATGCTAAGAAACCAGACAAGAATCACACAATAAATATCGACTTAGGGTGGCTGCTGATGCATCTATGGGTTCTCTAAAAGTGTTTACTTGTGAGGGAAGATTTAGGAGAAAGGATGAGAGCCATGGCTGCTGCAGTTGAAGCACAACTCACCTCCAGCTAGCCTTGCTTCTTGATGTTACATATGCTGTTGTCTTTGAGTTTGATTGACTTTGCAACTTGTCACTTTGTTTGATTCACTTGTTGACTTCTGTTACTTCAAACCAAGTCATTCCTCTTTTAAGCAATTCCTCAGACACACAAGTGATATGATTGTTTGAAAACCATATATACCATTTTTAATAACAAATTTGTAATGTCAAGGCACACAGCTTACTTGAGAACCTCATGTAAATGTACTAAACCAAAAGAATTTGAATTAACAAAATACTATTTAGCTCAAATTCACTTAAAGGCGTGACCAAAAAAATGCTTGCATTACTTTTGAACATTACTTGAGAATTACTTGTGACACATGCATTCATCTCAATCGTGCTATCAACAGCAATACTTGACATCAAATCATTTCTTTTTTCAATCAACATCCACAGAAAAAAGTTATATGTTTTTTTAACCAAACAGTATTTTTCAAAAAATGGTCATGATCTTACTTGAGAAGATCATGTAAATATACAAAAACAACAGAATTTTAAGCAAAAATAAAGTCACTATGAAATTTAGGTTACGACCTAAATGAATTTAGGTCGTAAAAAAAGTTAGGTCAATTTTTGCACCTTTTTTTTTGATTAGGTAAATCGAGGCCCTAAGTAAATTTACTAATTCCGGAGACTCAGGGTAAGACCGCGATGGTTGCGCATGTGGATTCGATTGCTTGTAATTTCGGGGTGCGCATGCTGTGCGGAGACAGTCTATGCAAGTTATCTTTGCTTTTATTTTGAGTACTGTCATAGTGGCCAATACATACATGTCCATGCAATTACAGCGTGCAAGTGGGAGACTACGGTGGCATGATCTTGCTGTTTCTGTTGCATCGTTTGTTTTCCCTCTGCGCACCTGAGGTGTTATATGGTCTGGTAATTGTTTTTGCGCGAATGTTGGGATTGCATGCAGAGAGTGCCTGGACGTGTCGAAGCTACACGTTCATGTTGCTGGAGAATATCATTTTCAGTGGAATATTTTCGCAGATTGGTTGGACTACGTAGCGGCGGTGTCCCGTGTGGTTCTTACTCTGTTTGCTGACGTATTATTACCCTCTCTTTCCTCCAAAGAAGAAATCAGATGCACAGAAAGCTGATATTGCTTGCTCTGAGCTTGAGCAGTTTGTTGCAGAACACGGGCAGATGTCGTCTCAGCATTCTGAACTAAAAAGCAGTCAATCTTTGTATTGGAAACTGCAGAAAGCGAAGCTCTTGCATTTGTTGAAGCATGATTGACGCCTTTGAAATTCTATGATTTGCATGGACGCACTCCAGGGAGGCAAAATGTGAGGACGGATGAGCAGCGAGCAGAGGATGCTCTGGCGCAACGCTGGGATCGTCTTCTTGCAAAGAAAGCATCACTTGGCGATGAATTGCTGAATGCATACAATCGCATTTTTGCTGCTGCGGAGATTGAAGACGATGATATGCATCTGGAGGTTTGCATTGCAGTCGGTGATTTTTTTGAAAAAGCCCAGCGGTTGCCGAAGCGGCAACTAGTGGACAGTGACGAAAAGCGAGCAGAGGATGCGCTTGCTCGCCGCTGGGATCGTCTTTTGGCAGAGAAGGCGTCAGTGAGCGAACAACTGCTGTCAAGCTACAGTGCTATCTTTGCATGAACATCTTGGCGCCTACCTCAAAACAAAGCGGGTGTTCGACAAAATCAAAGACCTCCTCCAACGCGAAGTTGCGAACACTCCGCTGGGCATGATCTGGATGCCCGCGCCGCGCGTAGCCCTGGGGCGCGAAGCCGGGTAGCTTTGCCGCAATGTACTGCGGCAGCCGGTGGCAGGCCGGGGGATACAATCATGGTCCAACCTTCTGCAGGTTCCTTTCGCAATGCCGCGGTATTTTTAGGTGGATCGATAAATCCCAAAGCAGCGACCTGCTAAAACCCTATATAAGTCAACCGCAAGATTCTGGCATCAGCATGACCCGCCGGAGAACACAATATGAGATAACTTCACTACAATACCCCCAATGGCTTGGGAGGGGCCTTGCTGGTGACATTGTAGACCCTAAAACGGGGGTCTAAGATGGATTACAATTCTAAAAATACAAGATTTTCAAGTGTCGCTGTAGACTCAGGGGGCTATGTTCAAGCTGTGGGCCTGGAATGATTGAACATACTGCCACGGGTCGAGCTTTGAAAGCTGCTAAAAACTTGTCATCTAAGAATATGAGGGCTTGCAAAAAACAAATAGTTTGAAAAATTATCTGCTGTTCTTCATTATTCTACTATCCTTACAGGGGTCTTGAAAGCTAGTTGAACAAAAGTCTACAAAGCATCAACATCATCTTAGCCCCTTGGATCCGCATATCTCAAGGTCTGCTGATTTCAGACTATGAATCTAAAGTAGTTGCTGAAATTGCACGACTTGATAGACCATGCTGAAGCCCCGGTTCATTCCCGCCAGGCTGTAGCTTGCGTAGCGCCAACTTTGCGATCCCCGATATGGGAGATCGCGTACTTCCTTGCACATAAGCTGCAAGGATGGCTGAAGAAGGAGCGCAAGACGCTCCTGGAGTGCACAGAAGCCGACGCGGAGCACATCGCAGATGCGCTCCGCCGCACCACGGCCACGGACCCGGAAAGCCTTAGGCACCTGCTGGACAGCCAGCTTTGGTGATATGCTTGCAGGGACCCACAAATGAATATGTGTTAAGAAAAAAGAAACCCAAACACACACACACACATATATATATATATGTCTGGTTTTGCGTGGCAGGCGTGGCACTTTGTGACATTCCAACGTGTTTGATAAAGTGAAGAAAGAAACTGCCAAAATAGGTCTCGCACGAAATGTTTGTTTTGCTGCACCCACGTGTCTCGTCTCGAGTCTCTGGTTTTCCTGTGACGTCGCCGTGTCTATGGAGGAAGCTGCCAAACCTCTCTTCAAAGGTTTCCAAACAGGTTGTCACGTCAGTTTGTAGTACGAAGTAGTACTGGGAAGTGTTTTGTGCAAGCTTTGTAGTGCAAAGTAATACTGGGAAGTGCTTTGTGGAAGCTGTATAGTACAAAGTAGTACTGGGAACGACTTTGTGCAAGCTGTGTAGTACAAAGTAGTACTGGGAAGTGCTTTGTGCAAGCTGTGTAGTACAAGGTAGTACTGGGAAGTTCTCTGTGCACGCTCTGTACTACAAAGTCGTACTGGGAAGTAGTTTAGTACAAAGCAGTACTGGGACGTGCTTTGTGCAAGCTTTGCAGTACACAAGCTTTGCAGTACAAAGTAGTATAGGGAAGTGCTTTGTGCAAGCTGTGTAGTACGAAGTAGTACTGGGAAGTGCTTTGTGCAAGCTCTCTAATACAAAGTAGTACTGGGAAGTGCTTTGTGCAAGCTTTGTGGTACAGCGTCGTCGTCGGGCCGGCGTCGCGTCGTTAATTCCGTGTCTATTGGGGAAGCTGCAAAACCTTTCCTTTTCGAAGGTTTCCAAGCACGTTGTCATGTCGTTTTGCGTGGCAGGGGTGGCACTTTGTGACATTCCAACCTATTTGATAAAGTGAAGAAACTGTCAAAATTGGAGGAGGTCTCGCACGAAATGCTTGTTTTGCTGCACCCACGTGTCTCGTCTCGAGTCTTTGGTTTTCCTGCGACGTCGCCGTGTATGCGTGGGGAAGGTTTCCAGGCAGGTTGTCATGTCAGTTTGTAGTACAAAGTAGTGCTGTGAAGTGCTTTGTGCAAGCTTTGTGATACAAAGTAGTACTGGGAAGTGCTTTGTGCAAGCGAGGTAGTACAAAGTAGTACTGGGAAGTGCTGTGTGCAAACTTTGTAGTGCAAAGTAGTACTGGGAAGTGCTTGTGCAAGCTGTGTAGTACAAGGTAGTACTGGGAAGTTCTTTGTGCACGTTCTGTACTACAAAGTCGTACTGGGAAGTAGTTTAGTACAAAGCAGTACTGGGAAGTGCTTTGTGCAAGCTTTGTGGTACAAAGTAGTATTGGAACGTGCTTTGTGCAAGCTTTGTAGTACAAAGTAGTACTGGGAACGACTTTGTGCAGGCTTTGTGTAGTGCAAAGTAGTACTGGGAAGGACTTAGAGAAAGCTTTGTAGTACAAAGTAGTACTGGGAAGTGCTTTGTGCAAGCTTTGTAGTACAAAGTGTTACTCGTTATGCTTTGTGCAAGCTGTGTAGTACAAAGTGGTACTGGGAAGTGCTTTGTGCAAGCTTTGTGGTACAAAGTAGTACTGGGAGGTATTTTGTGCAAGCTTTTTAGTACAAAGTAGTACTGGGACGTCTTACACTTTACACTCTGCACCCCATACTCCACACTCTACGTTCTACACTCTCTACACTCCCCACTCCACACTTTACACTCCACACTTTACACTCCACACTCCTTACGACTTTACACTCCACACTCCTTACGGCTTTACACTCCACACTCCACACTCTACACTTTCCACCCCACACTCCACACTCTACACTTTCCAGTCCACACCGCAGACTGGTAATAGGGAAATATGGTACGGTCTTCAAGCGATGTTTTCCATGTGTGTCTTTGTGCGTTAGTTGTCTCTTTGTGAACTGTTGATCAGGTGCCTTCGTTGAGGCGATATGCGCGCACGACGCATGAAAAAAACTGTTCGTTTTCCTATTGTAGAGGGTTTTCACTCGTAGTCCAAGAACGTGAATACATTCGGGTTCGTGGCTTCCATCTTGTTCCCATGGTTTTTCCTATAGGGATTCCATTAGATTATTGCATGTATGGGGAGTGCTCCATTTCTGGGCAAACCCATGCGGTCAATCAGGGTCCCACAATCAGTCCATAAGATGACCCAAAGTTTTGCAAACGTATCCAGGTTGAACCTCATTTAAACCATGAAAGTTATATGCTTATCTCATTCCATGAGATGCTGGTTGGTGAACAGGTATTTCTATTGCGGGTTCGTTCATATTATTTCATAATCTCTATCAAACCAGGTGGTATGACCCACTATAATGACCAACAAGGATATGTATATATTCTCAATGCTATTTGAGGTCCAGGTAACCATGAACGGGATTGGCTCAAAACAGATCTGACCCCAATGTTGAGGATGATTTCAGGTTCTTCAAAACCAGTAATCCATGTGTGACTGACTCCAAAATGGTACCCACAAACACGGCAGTCCAACATGGACAGATGCTGATACTGGAAAACCAAAACGTCAGAAGCTGGGGACGGATCATCAGCTATTTTGTGAAGTACCAGGTCTTTGACCCATATCATCCCATATCCATATTTTGGATTTGCGTTGCCATGTTTCATCATCAGAGAGTCCCCACGTATATTGAATATGTTTACTCGTCAACCATGGTAAAGTGTACGTTCATGGCTTCATGTTTTAGCTAGCGAGGGGAACACCGGCCAATATTTCTTTCATTTTATGTGCCTCTGACAAGGAAAACAGCTACGCCCTGGAATTCCGTGCATCATTTCCGTTTTTCCTGTCTTTCATGCGCAACACATGTATATCAACATAAACATCACCATCTTCCAACATGAGAACATATGGGGGGGTGGGGGGGGCATGTTTACGTTTGGTTCATGTTGCGTTGGAAAGGCACCCTCCACATTTCATCATCGACACATCCACACACCCACACATCCACACATCCGCACATCCACACTAACATACACATCAACATCACCATCTCCCAACATGAGAACATATGGGGGGGGTGAGGGGGCATGTTCACGTTGGGTTCGTCTTGTGAGACGTGGACCACACTGGAGGTCTCGATAGCACATGGAAACAATTCATAAACAAGGTACCACCAGGACTTCACATGCTTGAGAAAGGCAGGCTGAACGTCCTTCTAAGTACGTTAGGCAATGGCAGTGGCGCAGTAGACACCAAAACAAATGTCTGATGACTGCTACTGCCAAACAACTGGCGAAAGTGTGCAGAAGGTGAAACGAGAAAATGCCATGTTGCGCGACAAGGGATTTCAAAACCTCGACGAAACGCACGTTTTCAAAAAAAATGTCCAATTTAGACTTCGTTTTCTGAATCATCAAAGATTTCTTTTCCATTGGCAGGCGCAATGAATTATGACTTCTCATGTTGAAAGTATCGTCCGGAGAGCCCCCCGCACGGATTTTTTAGCACTTAAATTCTGGAAAAAGGCAGCTTGTCCAGCTAAAGATGAGCGTTTTTTTGCGGCATCTAAGAATCTAAGACCAGCCATGTAAAGTCACCAGGATCACTTAGGATGTTTTTCACCACTACGTAGTGACGTTTCATCCAGCGAAAAATCACCAGCCAATCACATCACTAGCCATGCAGAATCACCTTTGGGGATGTTTCACCAAAGAATCTATGAGATTGGGGATGTGAGTTTCCAGCATTATGGTGAATCACCTTCAGAAAAGACTTTTCCAATTGTCTATAGTTGTAGCAACCAATTTGTTGATGTTAGTCACCCAGCTCATTTATGGAATGATCTCCCCATCAAAATAACCAGCCAAGAAGAACTGCTTTCTAGGCAATAACTGTGGTAATTTGACAGCTTTGAATGTTTCTTGGTTTTTAAAACCCAATATACCACAATCGACCAAAATCATTCAACATCACTGCGAGATTGGGGATATAATCACCATTAATCAACATGTATCACTATGTTTCACCAAAAAGTCCTCCAAGTGTCCAGCCTTTGGTCCCGTTCCCGTTGCCAAAAAGGCACCCTTTGCTGCGGGGAGCCTCTTGGCGAGAATCTCCTAGAGGGTTGTTGCCCCCCGCGGGGATGTTTGTTGGTTTACCTTATAGCCAAGGATAGATAGAATTGGAGTATGTGAATGTATCTATGGTAGATATATCTATATCATTCTATATCTATATGGTTTATAACCCCAGTACCTAAAAATCACACATATATATATAATGTATATATATATACACACACCATGAAACCCAACAAAAACAGACCTATAAACCAACTTAGCTAACGAACTGGGGCACCAGCTTGTATGAAAGTTGGATTTAAACAATAAACAACATATATACTGGTTTAATGGGATATTAGCGGGGACAAGTAAAAATGATGGTTTTATTGATATCAGTTAGTTTTTACGGATCCTAGCTGTCAGGATCATTGGCGTTTTTAGCCAGAATGGCTGCGAGGGAGGATGACTGACAGCACCAAACGCCACGCACCAAGTGGGTCTCTCTGAAAGTGCGGTGTATATTATATCCCCCAATTTTTGGCAATTAAATGTTATTTGAATAGGACAAAATATGATACACTAGTGAATGACATGTTTTTTGCGTTTATTTTCACAGAAGCCGTTGTCCCCAAATTTTAAAACAAACCCTGGCGGTTTTATCGCATACTTTAACAAACATTCTGGTCCTGGTTGTGTCCATCGAAAGCAGCTACGATGTGCATTCAGTTGTGACCAAGGCAATACAGTATCATCTACCCATTTATAGTTGACTAACCTATGAAAAAAAATGTGTTCCCAGTAAAATGTAGTAGGTTACCATTGATTTGCTGGGATGTTGTTTGAAGTTTGGCTGATGTCAATGAAGACTCCAGATATTAGCAGAGAACATTCCTATATTTATCATACTGTATTGATCTGTATTGGAACTCTGATGAATGTACAGCATTTATGTCAGCATATCTACCCACAGCGGTTTTGTACGGTTTTGTTAAGTGAGACTCAAGATAATATGAATCATACACCTATTTTGACTATGCAGACATGGCAGCACACACTGAGCTCTTTTCACCACGACGTACCCCTTGCGATCAATCAAGTGGCAGCGGAGTCAGTATGTGACAACTGGATTGGAACATGTGGCAAAACAACGAAGATCCACTCAAGTCATCACACGCCTGAAGAATTCTTGTTCGTCTGTTTTGCCAGTTTGGCACTCTTGCGAGCTTGATTTCGTGCTACATTCATCTGTCAATTGATTTCGGCCAATCTTGAGTACGGATTTTCAGAAGTCTGCCGGCTTCAGCTTTGCTAAAGAGTCAGCCAACTGATACTTGCCGCCTATCCACCGTATGCATCCATTGTTCTGACGCAAGAAGTCACGAATGATGGACAAGTCGATGCAAGTACGTTTATCAGAGGCATTAATGGCACTCGGTCGCGACAAGGCATCAAACACAGATTTTGCATCAGTGACCAAACCAAACTCAATTGTTTTCAAAGAGTCCTCCCAGTCTGGATTTAGTTTCCGAAGTTCCTTGGCATACATTAGTTCAACTAAGAGGTAACGATACCAACTAGCTACAGCTGAATTTTCCACAATTGCCTGAGTCTCGGCTCCCAAAGTTGACACGGTGCGGCGCTTGAGCGTATGGCTTTTCCAACCCAGAATGCCCTGAGTTTTGTTGGATCTATTGGCGGCAATCGGATTAGGATGTCTTTATGGCTTAGGGCATCTTTAAGTATCCTATTGCAAGTTTTAAGATCCTTAACCCTTGGATTGGAAAAGCACTGCATCAAGATAGCTGTGGAACCTGCCAAGTCAACACGGGTTTCTTTGGACAGCCAACTGAGTGTTCCGACATGCGATCTGAGCTCCTTGATTGGCACCAACTGCAGTTCGTTGACATCCGGTGTCTACCACGCATGTCTCAACAACATCAGATCTTGCAAAAACTGGAGAGTCAATTGCTCTCCCTCGGACTTCGATTGGGCTACCTGTGGCATGTCCTGAGTCCTGACTGTCTGGCTCAAGGGGTTGCGTCGTGTGATACACATCTTTTGGCGTTCGAAATGAACGCATTTTCACATCACTCGATGTTTGGCAATTAGCATAGAAAATGTTGGCATTCTGGAATGATACCCCCTATCCCAACCATTACAAGTGTTGTCACTAACAATGGCAGTCCATAAGGACAGAGGGCATGCTTCGTATTCGCGAGTTGACGCGGGTTAAGTCTCATGTCCCATGCATTCGGCAAGCGACCACCATGCTTTGTTGGCAGAATCTCCATCTCGAGAGGCTGCATTTGTCGTGCTTGGTGATGCGTTGCTGGATGAGGACGATCGCTGCTTGTGTGGGCACTCTCTGTGCCAGTGACCGGTCATCGTCCCACAAGACCTAAATTTCGTGATCGACTTGAGATGCTGAAGATCCTTCCCCGTGCCAGAAGTCTGATTGCCGGCTGGAGTTCGGAATCCTCGGCCATTCTTCAAGTCATTCTTCATGCTCTGCACTTGTTTGTACGACAGATTCTGCACTGGTCGGTTGACCTTCTGACGAATCAAGGTCATGAGAATGTCCTTGGCATCATTTTTCACTGATCTGTTCTTCCTCACCCTGATCTTCTAAGTCCCTGAAAGCATTCTCCAAGAGGTCCATTTCATCGTCATCCATGTTCAACATTGCTGTCTGTTCACTGGTACTTTCTAGAGTACTCTGTCCATCATCGATGTCAGAAGACTGTTGCATCCAGACATGTGGTTTTCGTTTGTCCTCATCAGTCTGAATCAAACGCATCTTGAACTTGCCCATGGCCCCGATGACGGCTTCCAGAGTGAGATCACCCTTAGTCATAGTTACGATTCGTTCCAGGGTCGTGTCATCCACCTGTGCTTGTCGGAGAGAAACGAAACCTAACGCTTCAGCAGGCAGCTTGACTCCATGCTTCCTCACTTTACGATTGGCCTCCTCAAACCTGTTTCTGAAAGTCAGAGGATCATCTTCTGCTTGACGAAGTCGTGAATAGAACAATCTACGCAGTGCATTCCACAAGCTCTCTATCTCCTCTTTTCCAAATCTATCCGGACGACTCATTTCATCAAGAAGTCTTTGACCATTTTGGGGATCATTGAACCACTTCTCATCATCACACATGTATTTCTGCAACATGCGAGGACCCCTTGATGTCTCTGCGATGGTGGTGGTACGCAACCACAACTTGGCTCGCAGATTGTAATCCTCCCATGCACCTGGCTTTCTGTCACCATCATACGCAGGTGGTGGACCGACTGACGAACGGTCATTCACCTGACGAGTATCGCCTGAAGTAGCTCCAGAAGTATGCTCACTGGCCTCACGCTGTGAGGACTCATCTTCGCTGTCATCATCATCTCTCACACCTGAACCTCGCCACTGTCGGGCTTGACTCATGTCTTACTGAACTACCTTGACCACCTTCCAACTGGTTCGACGACCACTACCAACTACCAGGGGCAACTTCAGACCCACACTGATACCACACACTGTGATTGAACTGACCTGGATCGTAGAAGCTCTGAAGTACCAATTTGACTATGCAGACATGGCAGCACACACACACTGAGCTCTTTTCACCACGACGTACCCCTTGCGATCAATCAAATGGCCGGGGAGTCAGCATGTGACAACTGGATTGGAACATGTGGCAAAACAACGAAGATCTACTCAAGTCATCACACTTATGATAGCATGTGAACTACGAGGGATTATTATTCACATCCATGAATCCAAGTTATTTTGCTGTGAACTACAGGGGATTCCATGGTTTTTGACCCACCAACATCCCGCAACCATATATATATATATAGTCATCCCCAAAATGATAAAAGTTGGTCAATCCTTACTGCGTACAGTAATTTGATTATGTTTTACATTATACAACCAATTTTTTGGGGTTACTGCTACCATATACCCTGTGGTAATTTGTTACAGAGCTACAGTACAGATGGCCCGTTTATACTGAGTTTAAACATGGTTATGTTGTGTTATAGTTATAATTAGGTTCCAAAAGCTGTTAAATTATCAGTCCGGGTAATTTCCAAACCCATGTGTTAACCATCATATTATCATATTCCCCAATGATTGATGCTTATGTGTTTCATGGTTATGTTTTTCCCCATATTTGATGGTCAAATTACCAAAGGAAATATTACATATCATATCCATTATTATCAATTGAAATCCATTGCTATCCGTTACTATCCATCAATGGCAGTCAATAACCATTAATAACAACTATATCCCTATGGTCTATGATACTTGTAGCTATAGTTCTTGGGGTTTATGAATCATCAAACATAACTATAGTTCTTTGCGGTAAAAACCCTACATAACATAACTGTTTGGGGGTTGTAAAACCCAATGTATAAACCCCAATACTTATAACATTATCAATATAAATCCCAAATAAACCTTTTATAAACCCTTTATATCAACCCTTTATCAAACCAACAAACACAGTTAACCTTCTGAACAATCTATGATAGCAATTTAGTAATGTCCATTTCTTGTTTTATAAAACCTATGATAAATGTTGTTCAATAACGATAGTTTTTTTTAAACAATCTAGGTTAAGGGTTAAACCAACAAACATCCTTAGTTTACTATTGTTCTTCAACTACTAGCATGATCTTATTATGATAAGTTTTTGATATAACTATGATAGTTTCACACTCTTGTTAACCCTTTATCTATGAAAAATGTTGTTCAATACCTTCTGGATCCGGTAAACTCGGTAAACGTTCACAAATCGCTATGGAAAATGATCATAGGTAAATCAACAAACGAAATGTACCATTTTCCAGTTCGCAAACTGGGGGTTTACCAGAAATGAACCATGAATGAGCATTAACTAACCATTAAACACTATGACTAACCATTAATAACAATTAATAACCATGAATAACTATCATTAACCATCATAAATCATAATTCACCATAGATTAACCATATATATTAACCACAACTATAACTATGGAAACGTTCCCTGAGTTCACTTCCCGGGCACCGCAGCAAACTCACCGAGGCAGTTCTGTTTCCGCTGCAAGGTCTCGTCTTGGCACCGGGGTGTGACCTGTTGGGACGCTCAGTTTCCGGCACAGCACCGGTGGCAATGGGGAAATCCCCTATGAAAATCATGAAAAATGGTGATTTATGGTTTTTTGAATGGGAAAATCCATCACTTTTGAATACTTTTGATAGGTATAATCAACTATAAATGAGAATTAAAGTGGTTCATGTTCAATAGCTATGTTAGTTTACCCATGAAAACATGGTGACTTATGGATGTTTTGATGGGAACATCATCAAAGTAGATGGATCGCGAAAATCATCGAAGTAAATGATGGGTTTTCGAGCCAAACATGATTGATTAGGATATTTAGGATGAAACTATATCAGTGGAACAGTAAATGTTTATATATCCTGGGCACCCTTTTGAAAATCGAGTTATTTTTAGTTTATTCAGCCGAACACTCCAAGACTAATGCCAACGCCCCCACGTGCCGGGCTTCACGGATGTGAATGGCTCCAATACATGCAATTAAAGTTATATATATTTATATATATATGTGAATATTAAGGTGAAGGGATTATTACACTATAGTAGCCATTATATATATATACACATATGTTTTTTTTTTTTTTTCCGGGTGCTAAATTCCCAAACATATCCAAACATGCTTATGTGAGTACATTCCCCAAATCTCATTATTTTAAAATTGTTTAAATCATGTTAAATCCATTACACGTTGATTTTAAACCATGGGATGTGGGATATTCCTGAAGCCACCACCAAGCGTGCTATGTCATAGACGTCTGATAGACCAAGGTCAGAGGACGTTGGGTCAACCGACAGGGTAATTTAATCCTGATGTTTTTGGATTTCAACAGGAGTATGTACTAAACAGCTAACATGTTTGTGCAGGGTATTTAAAGGGGATGCTACCATAATGCAATCTGACAGTCTGACATCATCATTAAACACACAAACATTATATCAATTATATCATACAATATCCCTGTTTCATAAACAATTATCAACGAAATGGGTCTGTCTGAAAATTGGGTCACGTACCTCCAAATTTGATGGTTGATCACAATGTTCCCCATTGAAACTGCCAATTCATGGACATTTTCAATCATTTTCATTTTCAGACACACCCAAGTATCATATTTAGTTGGTTATATATCCATGAAACATATTGCACCTAGTAATATATGCCATTATATTGCCGCAGTTGTTGGTTAAATCCGCTGGAAACAAGTTTTTTTCATGTTATGAGTTTCCTTTTTTTTGCGTCGGTTAACCCAGAATCTCCAGGTCTTAAATCCCTATTTTTGATGTAAAACATGGTAAAACCCCTTATTTGTCATAATTCAACCTCCATTTTCATTGTGAAAAATCACCGTTAATCTGGTTCACTCCCGAAAAGGCAATGAGCGGTTGAGGACCGAGAAGGCCAGACAGGCGCCGGAGTTGCGCTGAAAGATGAGCAGTTTCAGTTGTTTTTTTCAGGTGGAACAATGGAAATTTATGATGGAAAAATGATGGAAAAAGATGGAACAAATTGGATTTAGCCATGGAAAATGTGGATTTTACCCATGGAAACATTGTTTTTTTTTGGTTTTTCCATGGTTGAGTAATGTTTGAATATGGATTGACATGGTTCAAGCATCGATTCTACGGGGGTGTAGGGTGAGGAAAACATAAAGGGATATAAAATGATATAATTTGTGGATGATATTGCACCTTTGTATATGTGTGATTAGCATGTCATCCATCAGCTGGGAATGCGCATGAAACCCAACCATTCTTGGAGGATCTCCAATAGGTGCAAGCGACACTGCTCAACTGGGGTTATATTAAGGTTGTATAACCCGGAAGCGGAAAGGCCCTCATTTAAAAACCATGTATGATTTTGTTTTCCATTTAAGCAAACAACTGGGAAGTGTCCAATACTATGTTTGATTGCTGGAGGTTATACCAATGGTTGGACAGGGATAAGAAACCCTGAACCTTTGCTCGGCTTATCCTCATAGTAACTCTAGATGTCAGTGGACCTTGGCCTTACTTACCCCCTGAGACCAACAAATAAGGTATACGGCCCCACCTGTTGATGAGGTCCTATACATAAGTGGGTAGCAAGTGGGGATGGTGAATGAAAACCAAGCAATAGATGAACCAACTAGAGAGGATCATAAGTAAAGTAACCACCAAATAAAGATAGAACATGATTTTACCCCTATTTGGATGTGTCCTAATATAGGGTTACCCCAAATCATCCAACTGAGTTAGTTTTTTTTCACCCAGGGTCACTTAAGGATCCATTTTAGGAAACATCCATTTAAGAAACTCATGGACCATGGATGACAATGGCTCAATGCCGATCAGTACCCTCTGGTAAACTAACACAACTATGGAAAATCACCATTTTTCAATCGGTAAATCAACCATTTCAATGGCCATGTTCAATGGTTTTTCCATGGTTTTTTTTCTATGTTTACTAAAGGGTATTTCTGGTTTCGTCCCTTACATCTGCATTCACCAATTTTTTCCCGGGTGTTTAATACAAGGTGGTGCCCCCCCCAGTTATAAGTTGGTCTATAATCCCACTAACTATATATATATATATATATCTATCTACCATAAGTCCTATTTATTGGAGTTATAAACCAACTTAGCTATCTTGGGGGCCCCACTTTGTATGGGCCATTTTCAATAGCTGTCTCCTGGTGCACGCAGCACAGGCCCAGCTCTGTCCGGGCTGTGGGGTGCCCACGCAGCGCAGCGAGGGTTGTCGGAAGATCACCTGCGTCTGCGGCCGCGTCGCTCGGTGCTTTAACGGAGTGAAGGAAGTGGCTTAATGGGATTTTACCATTCAAATATTTCACCATTCAAATATTTAGTGCATTTAGTGCAGAATTTCATGATGTTTAATGGGATTTCAGCTACATTTACCATGAAACTAGTTAATTAATTAGATTTACTATTAGAATGTTTAATATTCGTAATTAGAAGTTCAAATAGTAGTGGTAATCTAGTGATTTAACCAGTTACTATTCAAGCATTACTAGATTTAGTATATAGGTGATAACCTAGTAGGTGATAACCATTTAACATATATATTTACCACTTTGATGGGATTTAAACCAGTTGAATAGGAAATATATGGTGGTTTCCATAAATGAGGATACTCAAAAATAGATGGTGTATAATGGAGAATCTAATGAACATGGATGATATAGGGGTACCCCTATTTTAGGAAACATCCTTGTAGGAAATATATAGGAAATATATGGACACATATATATATATATAATACACACAGAAGTTCTGATTTTTAATGTTACGTACTAAAACAACAGTCAACCATCCCCAATGTTACCATAAATGGCTGCTACAACCCATCAAATCTGAATGGTTTATTGTTGCCTTACCAATGGGAATAACAGGCCACCAACTGGATGGGTAGTTAGTAGTTGTTGATCCTGAATAATATTTTGTGTTTTCAATAGGAGTATCTACAAACCAGCCAACAATTTAATATGTTGCAGGATATTTGTGGTTGGCAAGGATAAGGAATAGTTTATTGGTTTGATCAGCATTTGTGATTCTATTTCATGAATCAATCTGATCTGTCTGGAAAATGAAGTGAGCAGTGTTCAAAAACACTGATGGTTGATGATTAGTTCGAGGATTATATATATATATCCTTTATATATCCTTTACATATTGGGGATTATGGAAGTACAATGGGAGTGCAATGGAAATGTAATGGGGATATAACTGTGATATATATATATATATAATTATATATATATACATATCACCATTTGTATCAGGTTTGGCTAGTGAGAAACAAGTAGCCAGAGCAAATGGGAAAACCGTCAATATAATGGTATATTGATCTGATGTGGATATAATCGGACATATAGCCGACTATATCGAATTAGGGATAGTGTGACCGTGGGTGTACACCTAAATGGTCAGTTCCATGAGAACATGGTGAATAAGCATCCTGTTTTGGGGTATTGTCTAATGGGATAGTGTATCAAAAAATGAATTTAATTTTTTAGCTTGATCAGTAGGTTGGCTTCTAATCGTCATAGTTTAATGGCCAAAACTTGGGATCTCTGTATCATTTCCGTGTTGCGTCCGTGTTGCCTCCGTGTTGTCTTGATAAAGCACTTGAAGGTCATCTTGAAGAATTTGATTTCCCGGAGCGAAGGGCACTTACCCATACTTACCCAACTTTCTGAGGGATTAAGTCTCCGACCCCTATGAAACAAGTGTTCTGATTGTAGGCGTTGAATGAAGGGGCCAGTTTTCGAACCTGTTATGTATATTTTGAAGGATAAAATCTTCCCACCGGTCCCACCCCCATCAAACAATTGCACTGATTGCAGACTTTCATCAATCAAGGGGAAAATTAGGACCCGCTATAATATATATATATATATATAATGCATATATATATATATTATGCATATGTTTTATGGTATTTTCTGTAGAGGGGTTGAATCTCCCACCCGTATCAAACAATTACACTGATTGTAGCGTTCCGGGAATATCAGCTTCACTCTCTCTTGGCAACACAGCGGCGCCTGGCTGTAAATATTCTGACGCGAAGGCATCAAATTTTATTCCGGTTTGGCATGGTATGTTTGATTGGCTGAATTTTGATGCGCAGGAGATGAATTTTGATGGTGGTACTAGTACTAGCATATATTTGATGCGTTAATGCATATTTTGGCGTGGCAGACTGGCTTGATACATGTGAGTTCGATGGTGGTAAACATTGGCCTATACTTATACATGTTTTGGACTTCGCATTTGATAAAATGTTCAAAAAACTGTGGCACATACTAATCTTCACCAACTGACATTGTTGGGTTTTACCCACCATTATATAAACCTCCATGGCGAGTGTAGGGATTTTCTATTTGCCACGCAAGCTTCACCCTTGGTGTCACAGCTATGATGCGATTTGGGGAGAAGAATAGAACAGTTCGCTTGTAGCAAAGCCCAACAAAATAGGAAAACAAAACCCAATAGTGTTATATAAATCTTGGTAAAATGATATCTTTGCTATCTATGGTATTGTCAACAATAGATGGAAATAACCTATTTTAAGTGATAGTGTTAGATATTTTGAAATAATTTGTCATACTTGTATGAACGCCTTTTTCTAAGCAACGCATTCATTCAATTTCATGCATATTTCTGACCACATGTGATAAACATGTGTTGAGATCTCAGGTTCTTTTCTTAAAAAGAAAAAGGAAACGTATCATTCTCGTTCAACAGTGCATGTGCGTTTCTTGTTCAACAGTAATCAGGAATCGGGACCAATTGATGATTGATATTCCAGGCAAAGAAATCGTCATTGCGCTCACACATTGCAAGTGATTCACCAACAAAACGTGTCATGCGTCCATCTCCCTTTTCACAGACCTCTTCCAAAATGTATCATCTTTTTCCAAAATACTGGTTGCCATCACCCATTACCTTAGATGGCCAATGGAATTGGTCAACTGGGGTTATATCATGTCATATCAAACAGCTTCATATGGGTTAGCCACGGCTTACCTGCAGATTTTCCATGATTTTCCCACCAAATCCCATGATTATACCCAGTAAATCATCTTCGTATTGCTGGTGGCAACCCGTCATGAGCCCCAGATATCCAAGTTACAAATACCACATCATATCTGCATGATATCTCGATCAAATGTGAGCTATCTTTAAATTGGTCGGTCCACCATGCCACCATGGGAAGCGCAGCCGACCGAATCCAACCGAGGTTTGGGAATGGGAAGGTGTGGAAGGCGACGAAAGTAGCGATGAGGCGCTCGTTTTCTGCAGCGTCTGAGAGATCCTGAGATCACCTTCCGCTTGGAATCATGGAGATTTCCATGGGGATTTTGTTTGCCAAAAATCATGGAAGAGAAGCATACCCTCTGGTAAACTAACATAGCTATTGAAAATGGCAATTTATAGTGGATTTTCCCATTAAAAACGGTGATTTTCCATAGCTATGTTATGTTAAATTACCAGAGGGTAATTCATGGGATGAATAGCCTCTATTAGTCTAACAAGTCGCGAACTAGGAGGGCCCCATTTAGATACTTAGTTTGATGATTTACCATCACAAAAATGGCAACATTTCATAGCTTAATGGTGATGGCAATGGAGTAAAATGGGTTTGGTACTTCAAAAGGTCTTGATCAGTTCGGCAAAGAAAATCTGAGATGTGATGGTTAAACATAATTTTCTTTGCTAAAAAATGGCAATGTAGGGGAATTTAGGGGTAAAGCCCTTTTCCAGAGACATCCAAATGAAGTATTTAAGCATCAGAAATGGAGAAGAATGGTGTTTTGGTCCAGTTTCGTGGTGTTTTGGTACTCCCAACTCATGGCACTCTTGAGGAACACATTCCTGGTACACCATTAACTTCTGAGGTACTCAAACTATTCAGACAAGTCCTTTTTGGGTGAGATTTTAAGAGGGGATATCACCAGCAATGGAAACAAAGGGGTAGACCCTGAAAATCACCAATTTTGATTGGAAACTAGTCTTCCAACCCCTATCTGCCAGGGTCTATGTTAATTTACCAGAGGGTAATTTGATCTAATTTGATTGATATCGATGGGAGCCTGACCAGTAAACCTGTGATCGAAAAAGAGGACTATAAGCCCAGATTGTTGGTTGCAAGTTGCTGCACGGTCTCAACATGTCATGTTGACCGACAAACAAGGGGCTAGAAGCAACAAACATAGGGAATTGGGGATATCAAAAAGTAAGAAGCGACAGTTGATGTTGAGGTTCTCCTACCATTGCAGACGTATCGCGAGCTGACGGAGGAGGCGGTCGTGCGTCAGCCTGTGCGGCCCACATCTTGGAAAGGATCAAGGCGGAGGTGCCACCAAACCTTGGCCAACAGAACCAACAGCACCAACAGCAGCGCAAGGAAACTGATTCTGAATCCTCTTCTAGCGGCTCTGGGCAGTTCCCCAGTCAATGGGCTCCCCAGTGTAAGTTGACTGTTAGCCATAAATGGAGGAATGTCACATCCAGCTTAGTTATTTTGATTTCCTGTGCATTTCCCAGCCTGGTCACTTAATTCATGAATGATGGGTGCTGCAATGAACATCACTTTTTCATCACCCGAGTTAATCGGTAGAAGTGCTTTTTGTGGCAAAATGGAAATCCGTATGGATCAAAACAACCATTCAATGGATGCCATCCCCATGTGTGTTGAACATTAACATTACTGTAACATCGCCATTTTCTTATGGATAGTATTGATATATTGATGACATGGGGGTTTCTTAAAACGGTACCACCCCCAAAACCCAAATCATCCAAAATGGTGGACATTGTTTGCGTGGAAACCATTCCCTTGAGATCCTAGTCTCACGTGGATACAATCACCATATGTGCAAATTATATCCCTATGAAATATCCCGAGTAAAGCCCCCACCTTTGGTATCCAGATATTGTTTACGTTTTTTTTGACGTTGTGGTGCTCCCCAGTTGCAAGTGTTGGTTTGTAAATGTCATTGACTATAGATATTCTACCATGAACCCTTAGCTAACTATGGTGCACCACCTTGCATGTATATGATCCCATTATAGTCCCATGTGTTTTCCAACAGTTATACCACCACAAACCCAAAGTATGTCATCGAATTCCGGTTGTAATGGTAATGAAATCATTGGTGTTTATAGGCTACCTTGTCTGTATACCCTCTGGTAAACTAACATAACTATTGAAAATCACCATTTTTAGTGGGAAAATCCACATTAAATAGCCATTTTCAATAGCTATGTTAGTTTACCAGAGGGTAAATTTCTTGAGGAAAAATCAATCAAAACCATCCCATTGGTTCGCTGGCCGCCTCTCGGCGGAGTGTCGGCATCTCGCAGGAAGGCGCTTTCTCGGAGGATTCCGGTCCTGAGGCCGGTGTCGATGCGTCGCGAGAACTGGAACGGTGTGTTTTCCCATTGGGGTTTTTGATGATTTAACCATGTGGCAGTGTGTCAAAACCTTGTACCCCGGGTGAACATCAAAATAGCTGGAATTTATGGATGTTCATCCCACTAAAAATGGTATTAATAGGTATTGATCCATACCCATGTCTACCATCTACCCAATAAAGGGAGCATATATCCCATTAAATCATATAAAATCCCATGGTTTTTCCCATACAAAACATCTACCAGAATCTACCATCAACGGGATTTTATATGATTCAATGGGACGATTGGAGGTACCTACCATTTTGGTGATGAGCTTAGGGGATTTGCCTCCAAATTCTATGGCTTTATGTGGCTGGTGACGTACCTCCATTTTAGGCTCCTGAAGTTCACATGAATTGTTTGGAACCATTCATGGCGAATAAGCCAGCCGGCAGGTAGTACGACTAATGTGGTTTATAATATGGTATGTAATGGGTATGAATTGTTGTTTCTTGGGAGTTGGGACAACAATTGGTAAAAAAAAACTGTAAATGATAGGATAATCCCCTGTTCACATTCAACAACACCATCCAATGGTCCCAACATGTCCCAAATTTATCCCAGAGATGTGGTTTCATCCCTTAGTAAACCATGGTTTCATCAGGGTGTTTAATACTAGGGGAAGGGACTACTATGGGATATGTCCATTATGTGTAGTGGGATTTAACATGTCGGGGTGAACATATTCATGTTGCCATGATATTATTGAAAAGAGTTTGGTGGCTTATTGAGGAGAAGGGCTATTGATCGACCGGTTCTGATGGGATCAGGGTTTAGACAGGTTGACTATTTTGGTTCATCCAAAATCGATAGGGATAGCCACCCTGTTTAACCATGTTGAAAGGGAATATGTCAGCGGGACATAATTGGGACATAGACATAGCAAATGATGTAAACGTGTTGCTGGGGGGCTGGGTTTGAAACGTTTTAATGCCAACCACAACAAAGGAATGATGGGTAACCACCAGTTTGTATCCAACAGCCATTCCTTTTCTGGCAGGACCCCAAACAGCATGGTCAATGGTAGTTTGAAGAGCTCGGTGAGCCGAAGCTGCAGTGGCGTTCAGAGACGGCGCCGTCCTGGAATGGATCCAGGGCAAGTATCAAGCGACTGCTCCGACTCGGGGCTTGACAACTCACGGCAACTTCCAGGTTTCAACCACTAGAAGTTGGTGCAAGTTCTTTTGTGGTCCTGCAGAACTGGTTTATATTTGATATACCATATATAGTCGGCTGTTATGTGTTAATATTATAAACAATAATATATATATAATACGGTATAATATATATATATATATATTATCTATCTATTTATACATTCATACCAAACAATAAAACAACCACATAGACCTATCTTATATATATATACACAAGAAACAAACCTATTTCTCCATCAGATTTTATGAATTTTGCAGGGTTGTTTCAAAAGTCCACAGTCCTTTGCCATCGCAGGACGATCTCCAACAAGCGCAAACTGCCGTAAACCTCGTGGCAATGAACAACAAGGTACAGCGGTCGCAGCTTCTGTCAAGGACCACACCAGAACTGCCTAAAGATGTAGGGACCCCTGGGGGTTAGCGAGAAATCTGAGTGTCACTCTTGAATGATGGTTTGGATGTAAGGAGTAACTATCCCATCTTATCTATATATATATATATGTATATACCTACAGATGGAAAGTGCCTCGGTTGTGCACTATAATGAAGTTAAGCAACGGGTGTGGCTGGTTCCTAGCCTTTTCTTCTCTAGCCCCACCCACCCCACCCCCCAAGGTTGTGTGTACAAGTGAGTCAATTTTGTGTGTACAACTGAGACAAAAATCTGTGTGTACAACTGAGTCAGTTTTGAGTGCGCAAGTGAGTCGCTTACCTACATATATGTATGCAAGGATTTATTAGGAAGTTACCAACCATCTTCTGGAGATATTGGGATATGAACACTTGGCTGAACTATTTGGGTGTTTCTGAAAATTGGTTGATGCTCCCCACGCAGTTTCGATTACTTGAACCACTAGACTTAGGGATGCGTTTTTTTGGGACCAACTCAAGTGCAGGGCGGATGAAATGCCGTTAAAAAAACCAACCTAAGATATGAGTGCTTCTTCAAAGGGGTGGACCCCGCAATCATTCAAAATTGATCAATTTTAGATAATTTTGGTATGGTATTGGGGTACCATGTTCAGAAACACTGATATACACAACATGTTTACATTTTTTCTACATCACTCAGGAGCAATTTTGAACTTGTATAATGATTTGGTTTACTTTATTTTTCGGGTATCTATATCCTTTTTAGCGCTTATGATATATCCACATATCTTTTACTGTTTAGGCTTTTAAACATGATTATCCACACCAATCCATTTATGATGTACCATTTATAATCCATTGTCCATGATCATCATTTTCCATCTAGTGCTCTGGACGTCCTTATCTTATCTTACCGTCACATGTCCACTATAAATATGTTATATACATATCAGGTATAACTGCCCATTCTACCATGTTCCATCATTATTCATCAAATTTTTTGATATACCTTATCTTATGACGTGTGTTCTTTTGATCTTACCATGTATATATATAAGTAACTATAGTGTATATGTATGTGTATATATATATATATACATATACATAACATACATATATATATATATACATATTTGCCGTTCTGTATATAAATATATATAGACAAATATATATATATATATTTGTCTATATATATGGATACATTTATATTTATACATATATACATATATATATATATATTTACAATTAACTATATATATATATACATATATATATATTTACATAATATATATATATATATATTACATGAATATATGTACATATATATCTAGATACATATATGTATTTATATGTACACATATACATATACATATATATATATATATCATATCATCTTGGCCGCAGCGGGTCCGCTGACTGCAGGTGCCTGAAGAGACGGTGCCTCGGATGGTGCAAGGGTTCAGCACTTGAGATATGTGGGATTTTATGATGGTTAATAGTGGTTAATATATGGTTAATATATGATTCATATATGGTTAATAAATGATTAATATATGGTTAACAAATCGATGATGGTTAGTAAGTGCGAATTTAATAATGGTTAATGTGTGTTAATAATGGTTAATCCCTATTGATCCAAGTACCTTCTTGGGAAGTGTTTGGGGTATGATTTGGGGGGTTAAGTACCGTCTCAGACAGTGTTTGGATCCATAGGGAATAAATGGTTGGTGTGCAAAAGTTTTTTTTTTTTTCGGATTGGAGGTTTCCACCTGCTCTCGTCGATGTAGCCATGAAATAATGGGGAGAATGATCGAGACCAGCTGGTTTTGCAGGTGGTTTTAACATGTTTTAACCAGCTACAATAAACATGGAGATTGGAATGGGGATTGACTGCGGATTTGACAATCATTTCACCAACATGGAGGATTAATTATGCAACTTCACAAAATTACAGTTTTCATATTTTCGGTGATAACAAACTATACTATCCCCAATAGTATTTCAACATTTCTATACTACATACCCATTGCATCAACCAAACATTAATCATACAACCATACATCAACCATCATTAACCATATATTAGCGGTATATATTACCCTCTGGTTATTTAACATAGCCATGGAAAATGGCCCATTTATAGATGGTATTAAAAATTGTGATTTTCCATAGCTATGTTAGTTTACCAGAGGGTATCCATTTACGGAAACCCCTTTACATCTTCTGCGGGATTTTACTGCGGCCATTTTCAGGTGAGGACCTTGGTCCAGGCACTGGTGAACGCCGGAGCAGATGTCTCTCAGTCGCGCAAGAAAAAAAAACAATGGGAAGATGTTTATTGCTATAGCAATATTCCATTAGCAATAAACATAGGATAATATTGGAATATTGCTAATGGAATATTGCTAATGGAATAATATAGGAATATTCCATTAGCATGAACCTATTATCAATGGGATGATATAGGATAATAGGATAATATATAGGTTTATTCCACATGGGATTAGCATCTATTGAATCTATTCCATTATCCAAAATCACCGGTTAATAGGATCATATAGTAGTTTATTCCATGTGATTTTGGATGATATAGGCAAACAATTCCGAACGTGATTTCCTAAATTACTAAACCGTTTGAAAATGAATATCACGTGATAATAAATTATCAGCAGGGATATTGGGTGATATATAAACTGGGATCTTTGCCAACTTTGCCAACCATTTTTTTTGAAACAACATGCAGTGTATTCAAAGACTGGCCATGTTAATTTGGATGAGAAATGACAGCAAGATCTGCGGGGTTTTTGAACAATGACAGAAAAGTTCACCAAAACATCGAATGTCGTTTCAGTTGATGGGTCAAAATTGGGCACCCTAATGATTCGATGGTGTTAATACTAAAGATTATTTAACATAGCTATGGAAAATAGCCCATTTACAGATGATTTTCCAATTAAAACCTCCATTTATAAGGGATTTTCCATGGCTATGTTAAATAAGTAGATGGTAATACTAAAGATGAATGCAAAAATCTGTGGTCCCTTGTCGGGCTTGAATTTTGGCTCCTGGCCTTGCCTGGGAAGTGCACCATGTCCCAAGCCATGGTATTTTTGGTGGGTAAACCTCTTATAGGTTACTTTGTTGAGAGGGAATATCATGACTATACTGACTATACTATGATTGAACTATACCCAGCTATGTGAAAAATCGTTTTCTAAATGCCGTAAGATGTTCCCTGATATCATCAAAAGTCGGTCACTGGCTTTGCTCAGCCCTTCAAACTGGTAAGTCAGTGTCCAAAGATATTCATAACATGTTTTTAATAACATACAAAGATTACTAAGTATTACTCTGAACAGTAACCAAGTAAGTGTTCAGTAACCATCGCTTGTCTTCATAACATAGATTTTATTCTTTAGATTTCCAGCGATGGTTTCGTTGGAGACCCGTACCTTTATTCCATGGCAAACCTACCTCTGGGTCCTACCAAAAGGGCAATTTGTTACGTAGCTATGGAAAATCAGTTGCAATAGGCAAACAATCAAACTAAGTATAGGCAATTTTCCAGAACAATCTGTTAGATTCCCAGAGGATATATCCCATTACACAATTTCAATTATATCCCACGATTGTTGGTCAAATTCCCGTTAAATCTCCATTAGAATCTCAATGCATACCCTCTGGCAATTTAAATTGATTCAACATAGCTATTGAACATGACCACCTATAGTTGTTTTACATTGTTTTACCTATTATATAAATGTGGTGATTTTCCAGTTCGCAAACTCAGGTGAAAGTTCTTTGCTGATCCTAACCCTTCAGGTCAACGACTGGCCAAGCGAAACACGCTGCCCACTGCTTCTGGCCGTTCAGTGTGTCTTGACGGTAAACATGGGTCACTTGTTGTGCTCGGGATAAGGAATACCGCTGAAATGCATCTTGGGGTTCTAGTAGAGCCTAAAGGGACTTACTGGGAATATACGTATATACATATATATATATATATTCATTCACATGTATATGTATATGGGGATGTGAACTACTTACTTGGAATATTTCATTGACATATTTGTTTTATTGACTGTTGGTTTTACAGTAAACATGATTAAACACGGGGGCATTAATAGGGATGATAGTCGGGATTGACCAATTCACCTATGGATTGAAATTTGGGATGATTATATTTATCTTAGCCAACAAACTGGTGCACCACATTGCTAGATTTGAGAAACAACAGCAGCAGCAACAACAACAACACCAGCAACAACAACAACACCAGCAACAACAACAAGAACATCAATAAATGAATATAAATGATGATTTCCCCAAGATCCAATGGTTTAGTGTTAGATTTTCCAATAAAAATGATAACCAATTGGGAGGTCCATTTTAAAGACAAACATACATGTACCTAGTGCCTCCATTACCTTTTTTTTGGGGTATAAGAACAAAACCTCAGTTTCAGTACCCTCTGGTAATTTAACGTAGCTATTGAAAATGGCCATTAATAGTGGATTTTCCCATTAAAAATGGTGATTTTCTATAGCTATGTTAGTTTACCAGAGGGTATCCCTATGATACAGGTCGCAACACCGCCGCCGTGGCTGCGCTGTGCGAAGTGGGCGCGCGCGTCACGCCGGAGGTGCCGGGGGGAATCCACGGACGGGATGTAGTGGAATTCTATGGGTCTTAACCGTTTAACCATGACAAATGGAGGTTTCCAGTACCCAAAATCATCCAAAATTGAGTATATTTTGCATTGAAGCGTTGGGGTTAAAAATTGGATCCCCATGACTTAGGACATCAAGGTTTCAGGCTTCCGTTGCGGTTTCGTTCTGGCTCGGCTGGGCTCGGCAAAAGCCACGACGCAGTCCCAGACACGTTTGGGTTTAAACCCAACAATCACTACTATTGAATTTTGATATGGAAATGTTGATTGATGTTTAGTAAATTGTTTGACCATAAATGGTTTGACCATAATTAAATGGTATCATTTCAATGGTGGTTTTCCGGAAATCCATGGATTGATTTACGAGATACAGAAAAGCA